TTAAAATAAGCACTAGATGTCTACACAAACAATGAAATAACATGGAATTTAAGAATTGAAATACAACTCCATATTCCCAAATTTCTGATCAACCTAAATAAACAACAAAACATTAACTGTATTGAGATTTTCCTTGTTCCTTATTTAAATATATATCTATGACAATTTATAACTATTATATATTTGAACTAGTTTTTTTTTGTTGAATTAATTCCTATACCTTCATGTTAAAGGTGTATAGGAACTGTCCACATTTCAGGCTCTTGTTTAAGCTTCTGACTGGCTTCACTCATTACCAAGAATAAAAGAAAGTCAAAGTTCATTTACTAATGGTTTGCATCTTTTGGATGATTTGGTATATATATATATATATATATATATATATATATATATATATATATATATAGAAAAAGTTTCAAATTAAAATTATAATGTTTTATTTTATGAAAGTATTTATTTATTTATATATATAAATATTTCAAATTGTCCTCAATTTTTCATCAGAAATAACTTTTTGTTACAAATAAATTAAAATTACTGTTTGTTGGCAAATAGCGTCCAGTAACGAGGCGCGGCGTCACGTGATATGGGCGTCACTGTTCAGATATTCCAACAAATCTAATTTTCATAAATATTTTTTTTACTATATCTATAAATGATAAAAATTGAGGACAATTTGAAATATCAAATATATATATAAATAAATAAATACTTTCATAAAATAAAACATTATAATTTTTAATTTGAAACTTTTTCTATATATACATATTAAGAAAGTATACGTGGCTTCTCATTATGCTATATATATATATATATATAATGTCCTAAGGAGTGTTGTGTTTTATTTTTATGATAAATTAATACATTTTGTTTATATTATATGACAAGACTGATCTCTTTTTTTCTTTTTTCTTTTTGACATTTTACACATGATAATTTCTGTTGATGAATATATACATGTCAATAAGGATTCACAAAAAAAAAAAGACAGCAAAATTCATTTGAAATTCCTTGAAGGATTGTAAAAAACTTTATAAACATTCAAAACTTTATAAATATCTCTATTATAATTTTGCTTGTCCTTCGATCGCTTAGTTCCGTAGTTTGCATGACCATTACATCCTGCCAATACCTCATAAATAATAGACTATTCCATTTTGGCCATGAAAACATGGAACTGACATATCAGGGACACTACTTGGTTACAGTGACAAAATTAAAAGAAGATAGAAGTATTTAACAGCTAATTCAGGGAAATGGAAAAATTTGTCCATTTCAAATTTTATCATTTGTTACACCCTTACTTATAAATAAATTTACTAATGAAAATGTTTTCAGGACAGATTTTCAGCTAGTATATGTAATTAGAATACACCAGTCAAAATATTATCCAAATTGACACACATATCAACAATTGGTGACTTACATCTGAACTTCAGGACTGCTCTTCATTCAGTAGCCATTGCTTTGGATGGAGCAGGTAAATGATAGGTGGGCCTGCAGGTATAACTGAATAGGTATGATTTGTTTTAGCTACTTAAGCATTTTTAACAAACTTTCAGGTAAACACAACAATTTTGTTTTACTAAAAAACAACACCCTGATTATGACATTATGTTAATGTTGAAAGTACTCGGAATAAATAAATATGTATCAATATGGTAATTTTCTCTCTTTTAATAAGGATACTAAAAAGCTTCTCCATAAATATGATCCTATTGAAAATAAGTAGACAAAACTTGTCTAAATTATTCAATGAGACAGACATGTCATCATATATATATATATATATATATATATATATATATATATATATAATAAATTAACTGATTTAAAATATGGTAAATCAGTTAATTTATAATATTAATGCTCTGTAAATTTACATTGAGCACTTTTTTGTAAAAAATAAAAATATCAATAAGAACACCGGATTACATATCTTACTGTTCTTTCTTTTTATTTAAATATATATATATATATATATATATATATATATATATTTATTAATGGATTTATTTTTTAATATGACATTTTTATTACTTCAAACAATATTTTTAGTGGATACCTGTGTCTGAATAGATGCTGTATTTTTTTTTTTTTTTTAAACTGTGTATTACATCTATCAGTCTGTAGACTGAGAAAACTTAATAAAAATGTGTTATCCAATGGGGTTCAAACCAGCATCCTTGCATTTTTAGGAAACGTCACCGTTTGATTGCTCAGCTACAGAAAGTGTCACAGCCAAAAAAGGTTTAAGGAATGCTGGGCTGTGACATTTTCAGTTACCAAGCAGTCTAATGCATGCTAGTTCACATGCTTGTTTCTCCTATAAAGGCCGATGCAGGTTTGAACCCTATCAGAGAGCACAAGTTTTCTCAAGTGCATAAGCCAGTAGATATATTACGCACTGTTAAAAAGAAAATTGGGCATCTATTTAAATGTGGATATCAACTAAAAATAACCTTTGAAGTAATGAAGTGCAAAAAATAGTGCCAGGAATAAAGGCAAACAATGGCTAATGTAAAGGAACAGAACTAAAATATAAATATTAAAATATTAGTATGCAAAACTCCTGGAAACTATAATTTTTATGTTGACTTCAATGTTCGCTTATATATATTTCCAGTGATATGGATATTAGTTTGTAACTCTGGGTTTCACGCTTTTGCGATAATCAGACACTTTCCACTAAGTATTGCGCATATATATAGAGTAGTGAGCATAAAGATCAGAACGATGTTAAGAAAAAGTCTAATTGTGAAATAACGTTTTATTTCAAGCTTCAAAGAACATTTTATCAAGGAAAAATAAAGATATAAAGGTAAATTATATAATTCCAAAATATAAAGCTCAATAAACTTATTTTGATAAAGTTATAAGAATAAATATGCAACGATCGAAAAAAAATAGATGATCAAAAACATCAGGACGTTTAAATAAACCCATAAAATTTAATAATTATTTTGCATTATTGAACATTTTTTAGGGTAAAAATATAAAATAGGGTATTTTACTAAATTACACCAACTCTTTACTGGCTCTTGCATTGTAAACATGGCAAAAAAAATCTGTGACATCATTGGAACTTAGAAAACTGATAGTCAAGTTACGTAATGAAGATAAACCCTTGATTGGGGATATTTCAAAGACTATGGAAAAATCTAAAAGTGTTATTCATAGTATTTTAAGAAAACTTGAGGAAACTGGGTCATGTGAAGCCAAGAAACCACCTGGCAGGCCTAGGAAAACTACTGCAAGGAAAGACAGATGGATTGGTAATGAATTAAAAAAGGATCGATTTGCAACAGCAACCTTTGTCTAAAAGAGCTAATGCTAACCTTGGCATTAAAATATCAAGGCACACTATTTCCCGAAGACTTAATGAAATAAATCTGAATAGTCGAGTAGCCTCTACAAAGCCTTACATTTCTAAAAAGAATCAAATGAGCCGATTGAAATTTGCCACTAAACAAGTCATATGGACAGAAGAACAGTGGGATTGTGTTCATTTCAGTGATAAGTCAGTTTAACATGTTCCATTGTGAAGGGAGAAGGTTCGTTTGACGCAGTCCTAAGGAAGGATATTTACTTCAGGGCACTAAAAGCAGTGATAAATTTGGAGGAGGAAGTGTGATGGTGTTTGGCATGATTTCAGCGGCTGGTATGGGACCTCTTGTTAGGCTACACAGTAAAATTAACGCAACTGTATACAAAAAAATATCGAAGAAACATGTACCTAATTTGAGAAATGCAATTAATCAACCAGCTGTAATTATGCAAAATAACGCACCATGTCACACAGCGAAGTCTGTTAAGACATTTCTTTCTGAGGAAGATGATACTGTTATGGAGTGGCCTGTTCAAAGCCCAGACATGAATCCTATTGAGAATGTTTAGAAGTTACTAAATGAAAGCGCTAAGGAAAAGAATCCAACAAACATTGAAGAACTATGGACTAATTTGAAAGGAGAATGGGAGAAAATATCCATTAACGAATGCAAGACATTAATTTGCTCATGTAGCAAAAGATGTCAAGCTGTTATTGCAAGTAAAAGTCTACACATCAAGTACTAATGAATTATGAACGTTATTTTCATTTGGATATGATGTATCCATTATAATTGTATGATTTTATTAATCATTTTGATGTTTTTGATCTTCTATTTTTTTTTCGAATGTTATATAATTATTCTTATAACTTTATCAAAATAAGTTTATTGATCTTTATATTTTGGAATTGTATAATTTACCTTTATATCCTTATTTTTCCTTGATAAAATGTTCTTTGAAGCTTGAAATAAAACGTTATTTCACAATTAGACTTTTTCTTAACATCATTCTGATCTTTATGCTATATATATATATATATATATATATATATATATATACCAAAACAAACCAAGCTATTGGTAGATCTTCAAAGGACAACTCTACCAACACCTAAGACTGTCAAAGGAAAGAAAAATAAACAAAGAAAAAAAAATCCCGAAAACAAACAAAATAAGAATATAATGCAAAGAGAAAAAAAGACAGGCAATGCAAAAACCAAAAAACATGTGGTCAAGTTTGACCAATAAAACAGGCTCCTTAAGAGAAAGACTGAGTTGTTATTGATATATAGATATTTACTTGACCCCCACACACACACTGAGTCAGGTTGTGACACAAGGTCAGTTTTTAACATGGGGACCCAAGTGAAAACACTCGGGCCGCTAGTCATAGCTTGTCCAAGCTGGTCATAGCCGTGATACCACCAGCACAGGGATGGGCCCTGTGCCAGGTATCAACATGCAAATAGATAACTTGTATTACCTGCTTCCAGGTTAGTATTTGTAAAATTGAAGAGAAATATTTACATTATCGGATGAGGTAAATGGTTATGGAATTTGGTGGTCTAATACCAAAGGATTATGTATTTGTATGAAATTCTTCATAGCAGATTTACCACTTTTTTTTTTTTTTTTTATAGTTTAATATCTTTGAAAAATTTATCTTTTTAGGTCACCCGAGGTCTGTGGAAAAAACATGGAGATGAAAGGATTTTGGACACACCAATTACTGAAGTAAGTTTTCAAGTCATTTTTGATAGAAAGATTCAGCAACAACAAATGAAAAAAAAAAAAGACACTCTACTTACAAAAAATACATCTTTAAAACAGTGCAATAATATATTTTATTAAAACTTCTCAGAAATATATATATATATATATATATATATATATATATATAAGCTTTTCATTTTCCTGTTCAAATATTAAAGGCCGTACCAGGTGAAGAGATTTTGTTAGAAGCCCCAACAAAATGAAAATTTTTATCTTATTATTTTTTTTATTTACAAATCATAAAGGGTCAGGTAATCATTTTTAAATTGCAGTTACATCAACAAGTCTGTGACTTAATGGTGAAAAAGTTTTTGTACAAGAAATATTTTACATAACATACTATCTTATCATTTCAGCAGTTAATTTTATTTCTGTAGATTGAATATTTTACAATGAAAAATTCAGATCAAAGTTCCATTAATAACTCTAGTTGCAGACTTACTAATTCATCCTCTTTAGTAGCTAATGTTTGAAGAACATGTTTAAGTACATTTTTTTTTTTTTTTTATATATATAAACAATTCTACTCAAATTTTCCTAAAACATAAGCAAATCCACTACTAATGTCAATGGGAACTAAGCAACTGAGAGAAAAGCACAAAAAAAAAAACAAAATTATTAAATATTATTCAGGAATTTTACCAATTCTACTAGTTGCATTGAAATGTCTTTGTTGTTTATTAGACCAAAGTTTAAAAAAACTAAAGTATCCGTTTCAGCAATTCCAATCATTCTTGGGAAACATTTAAGCAGCCCAAATATTGTTGAAAGCCTTGTAAGTTGTTAAAAATAAACAAATTGTTTAATCTTTTTAGCTTTAATTTGCAAATTCTTTCAAGTGTTCACACGTTATGGATAGTGAAACTGATTTTATGGAGTGGGTTAACTAATTTTTCATGGACATAGCAAAAATATTAACCACACACTTATAAAAATTCAATTTTCATGTCATTGATGATTTAATTTGTTATTGCTAAATAAAGTTTTCATTCAATGTGTGTGTGTGTGTGTGTGTAATGTATAATTATATAATAATTACAGAGGAATTGCTTTAGAGAAAATAACTTTTTTCTTCTTTTTTTCATACATCTAAGTGCCATGTTCCTTTAGGATATGAATAATAATAGCTCTCCACGACTTCCTAACCATTGTTGTTTGAAGCAAAATGTGACATTATACCATCCTTCTATGTCTCCACCCTGTTGTTCATTTGCATAAATTTGTTTGTTAGGTTTTCTCTCTGCTTTGCTTAACATCATTATGCCCTGTGAGAGTCAGATTCTCTAGGCCCTCTTTCCTCCTTAATATTACCCAGACATATAAATATTTCAGTTGTCTCTGTTTGATTTTAAGTGTAAGTTTCCTTTTAGTTCCTATTTTCCTTATAATTTCCTTGTTGCTGACATGTTCAGTCCATACCATTTTCCATCGCTTCAACTCTCGTCTTCACATATGAAAAGATTATCCAATGTTTACCGCCCTATGATAGATGAGATAGGATATAACGGTTTGGCATTCTTTTCATTGTTCCTGATGAAGTCTTCCTATTTCTTAATACTTTCCTAAGAAATTCAAAGATGCCTACAAATAGAGAAATATGCCTTTGCATATATTCTCTATTTCTATGCATCTTTAAATTTCTATCACATTTTTCCATTGTTTGTTATGACACTACTCAGTTAAATTTCCATATTTGCTCGATTTCATCATCCCCTGTATGTAGCCCACATGTTCAGTTGTATTTTTTTTACTAATAACCATGCATTCTGTCATTTTAAAGTTCATAGTCCTTTTGCCTTGCTTTCCTTTAGTAAGTGATCTTTCAGTTTCCCTTCTGCACCTGACATCAACATCATGTCATGTGCATATTTTATGTTGATGTTATGTTCACTGATAATAAATACTGATTTGTTCATCTAGACAGGGTTTGTTATTTCTTAGTTTTCTTAGGTTCATCTTGGTGTATATGTTAAATAAATTGTCTAACAAAATATAAGAACTACTACTTATATACATACAACTGCTGATACTTTCCTTTCTTGTCATCTGTTACTGTAACAGCCATTACATTATAGCCAGTCATTGTATCTTTATTTGAGTTTATTGATAAATGACTAGTTTCTTTTTTAAAACCTTTAATCCTATTCTACACTCTTCCTGCTCCATTAAAGTTTTGTGCCTTTTTTGCATGACATTTTAGATTTTTATCTCTTTTTTTTTCTTTTGATTATTTCAGCATGGATTCTGTGGCATTGCTGTTGGAGCAGCCATGGTAAGTTTAATCTGTTGCAATGTTTTACTATTTACAACAAATACTGATTTATTATTAGCATATTCATAGGAATGAATATTCCTTGCCAATAATTAATAGTTGCTTGTAGCAAGGAATATCCTTACTACATGCAACTATAAATTGGCAAGGAATATTCATTGAAAAAAACTGATTTACCCATACTTCAGTCAGTTATGTGCCATACGTGATACACACTTAGGTGATCATGTATCTTTCGATACATGACTGACAAGGCAGATTTTTTCCCGCAGTAAGTTGCTATCCAAGGCTATAGAACCCAATCTGTCCTGCTACTTACCCATAACTGGGAGGAGAAGAGGATTCATACCTTTCCCAAGGGTATTAGCAAATAAGTGAATGTAATGGATTTGATTGGATTTCAAACTTGGCTCTCCGATTCCTCAATCCAAGCCACTATCCATTAGTCCACCATAGGAAGGGAATGTTTTGGTACATTTGAGTTCTGCATACTTACTGTTCTTTTTTTTTTTTTTTTTTTTTTATATATAATCACAATTTGATCATTATATGTATATATGGAGGCATGGTGGAGTGATGGATAGTGTCTTGAATTGAGGAATTGGTGAGCTGAGTTTGAATTCCAGTCATTAGCTTCACCTATGTGCTAATACCCTCGTGAAAGGTATTAATCCATTTTTTCTCATCCCAACTTTGGGTAAATAGCAGGACAGACTGGGTCCTGTAGCTTTGGTTGGCAACCAGTCTAGGAGAAGGATAACTCTGAAATCAAAATCTGAGGAAGTCCGTTTAGGAATCTTGTGGTATGCTGTACACCAGTACTGAGTATTCGGCTCTTCCAAAATGTGTAGTCGATTCTGCACAAGCCTCCTACTATAATCAAATTACATGAGCGGGCAGTCTGGCTGTTTGGTTCTAAGAACTAAGCTTTTGGACTCACGTATGGCAAAAACCAATTGGAGTGTCCTCCATATATACGTGTGTGTGTCTTCTGGAAGTGGGGTGGTCATCAGGAGCCTAGTTTGTCAAACAGGAGTGTTTAGGTATTAGTCACCAGTAACACAACCATCAATATATAAGGTACAGGTTGATATTTAATCTTCATCTAAAAGGAAAAAAGTGACTTGTATGATAGAAAACACAGCATTTGGAATTTTAGAAAAATTTTGATAAAGTGTGAAAGGGTTGACAACTCCCCACTGCCCGTTCCATTTCAGCCCATTGCAATAGGTTTTTGTTCCTGCTTAAAAGATATTGCTTATAGACCTTTTTTATTTCTAAAATATCAAATTCATTAATTTTAATAAAAAGTTTTTATTATAATAAAAAGAAACTAGTGCTTGATCTTTACTTTGAAAAAAATTGGAGGTGGGTAACTTATTGTTCATAAGCTTGCCTCTCAAATGGTGAGTGGGGAGGTGGTGGCTCAAATAAAGTTCAGGGCAATCTCATTATGTTCAAGATTTTAATAATCGTATCCTCCCACCCCTGTTTGTTCAAGAGGCAAGAGTTATTTTCCTCAAATGGGTGGTGGTGCTTAATAAAACACTTGATAATTAAGAACTCCTTGCACGTTCACCAAAAAGATAAGACTAAATATGGTGTCAATTTACACTTGTTATTAGTCAGCCATTTACTCTGCATTTATGTTGAATATTAATATTTAAAGTCTTGATATATGTTCTGCTTCAGTTACTTTCCTACTGCCATACCATAGCTACTCTGTGCCTTTTTCTATAATTATTTTCATGTTAATAGATTTTCTCTTTAGTATTTCAACTTTACAAATTTAAATGCAGTACTAGATTGGCAGTTAGGTCTCATCATTTTACAGTTGAAATTGCTAGATGTAACCATAAGTTCTATGCTGATAGTTTCTTCTCTTACACTTTTCACTTGTAGAACTCTCTTCCAGATTCTTGATTTCCAATCTACAATTTAAATGCAATGTCAATTGTCATCTTCTGTCTCCTTGAATTCTGTTCTTTCATTGTCCTAATTGTTAATAATGTTTTGTTTTTTTTCTCACTTTTTCAAAATGGTATGTACAAGTTATTAATTTGATACAGGTTTTATTTCCTAAGCAAAGAAGTAATAATGCTTGCCTCTCACTTCTAAGTTAAAACCATTTGGAACAACAAATCAATATTTTCATGGTGAGAATTTTTCTAAAGCTGTGTTGATGTTAAAAGAACCTAGCAAAAGTAACCTAAAAAATGTTAATTTCCAAAACAATTTAACTCTTTCACAACTTTTAAACAAAAATATTATTTAAGGATAATCAGTGAGATATATTTTTTAAATTATAAGATATTAAGGTTTTGTTTTTTTCTGTTTTTTTTTTTTTTTTTTTTTTTAACTAATATTCACCCAATACCAGGACCAAGAGCCACTCAATGTAGTGGGTTACTGTGTGAAGTTATATTAGCATAGGAAAGAACAAGTATTAGCAGTATAGAGCAAGAAGAAGACTTGCATTAGAAGAAACCAGAAACCCAATCCTGAACAGGAAACTAGAGATAAACCTCTATTCCTGTTTAAAAGTGCAGGGAGGAGTGTGAACCGGACGATAGGCAAACCAATTTACTCCTACTAGTGAAGGAGAGAAAAAAACAAAATGAAATAGTGAAAATAAAATAAAATTTCAGAGTCCAGGCACAGACGTTAGGAATACAGAGCTGAAGCTGACTTTAGAAGGAACCGGAATGCCAATCCTAAACTGGAAACAAGGGATAAACCTCTTATAATTAAATAATAATGAAAAAAATAAAAACTGTACTTGTTGCATATTTATGTCTTTGTTAAAAAACACTTGCTCCATAAAATGTAAATCATGATAATTGGGCATTTATTGATTAACATGCTGACCTCCAGAGGTCAATTACAAAATCTGATTTCAAATGCTAACTTTATAAAGCCAACTTAAGCTATAAAAAATTCTTGAGTTGATTTATATCTGAAGTCTTAACATTGTTTTCACGCTAAAACTATCACTGCAAATTAACTTGCTGTTGGCACTGGCAGATGAAAATGTATCACAAAATGCCAAGTAGAAGATAATTTATAAATGGCGCAAGGATGAAAACTTCCAACTATAAGTTATCTCATGACACTCAATGCGTTAAACACTTTCAATTCAGATTAAGAATTTTATTTACAAATCATTCATATAGCGTGTGGTCTTACTTTGATCACCCAAGTTGAAAAAGCTTATCTGCTAAGAAAGTTCTGATTGACAGCTGGGTTTGAATCCTGACCTCTGATATCACTGGGTAATACAGCAATTTTCTAAGCATAGCTTAGATGTGGCACAAGGTCAAAAGTATGCAGCACCAAGTGAGGATTGAATTTGCTACTCAGTCATTGTTCTTGAGAGACAAGCTTACGAACAATTACATCATGTTGAGGTATCTATTTCAAACCTACCAGGTAGTTTACAAAATAAGCTGTCACTAATTTTTTAGTGTTTTTTTTTTTGTTTTTTGTTTTTTTTTTTCATCTTTACTTTCATCATATGTATGAAGATGAACCACATCCGACAGCAAGGCCTTTGATCAGGAGGTTTTGAGGAGCGTGGAACCACTTCTTAATTGCTGGTGTTCCCAGGTCCACCCTGACCCGGGGTGGTAGCACCTGTTAGGGTCCCAGCTATGGACAAAGAGTTAACCTCTAAACTGGGGTCAAAACACTATGAAAGTGTAAAAATTGGTTTTAATACCAGAAATACTTTTTTGTAAAAAAAAATTATTACCAGAAATACATTACCAGCAATATATTTTTGGAAAAAAAAATTACCAGCAATAAAAAAAAAAATTTGTTGGCATTAAATAATCCATTGCAGTTGATATGCTGTAAACCAGACCAAACCATCTTTGCTTTGGCATACAGTGTCAGTCTTCAGTAGTGCATAAATGGTGTGGATTAAAAATAAAGACCTAGTTCCAGCTGAGACATGAACACCCTATCCTTTTTATCATGGGGAAACTTGTATATGCACAACAGCTGCTATATTAATTTAGCTCTCAGATTAGTTGATAGAAAATCAAATCTAGCCCCTATACTTATTCTCCAGATCTTTTGTCATATTTCTATTGTTTTTACATACACTAGTAGAAATAGTCTGAAGAGGGATTTGTTCTGTCAGGCTCTCTTGCCCTAGACACACCACAGCTGTTATAGCTGCAATACATGTGGTGCCCCTATGTCTCTAATGGGTTATGGAACTTGTGAATAGCAGTCTTGATATTTTTTTATATTAGATGAAGCCTTGTCATTCTCTTAAGATTTGCTTATTATTTCTGTTGTTTTACTTGTCATTTCAACTTAATCAGATGATTAATCTGTGGCTGTAGGGAAACAAAAGTTAGGAAAAGAAAAAAAGAAAAAAGACAAATAGTAATGGTTAATAATGCTTCATCTGTTTCTCTTCATTATTTCCATCAATTGCAACTAATGTGCTTGTGATATCAACTCTCCACTTTCTCTTGCAGGCCGGATTAAAACCAATCTGTGAATTCATGACATTCAATTTTTCCATGCAAGCAATTGATCAAGTAAGAATTTCTTTCTACACTGATTTACACTGCAAATGTTGTGGTCAGTTTGTGGGGGAAAAGGATTTCAGCTGATCTCTTTCTTTTTTCCCCCCTCTCTTCTCTCTTTTCATCTTCTTCTTCTGTTTCCTCCCTTTCTTCTTCCCTTCTTTTTCTTCTCCCCTTTTCTGTTTGTCACCGAATAATTGATTTCTTATTACCTAAAAAATGACAAGACCTTATGATGTAGAAATACTTTACACGCACAATAAATATATAGTATCTTATATAACGGGATTATTATATAACTATTAGCTTTGTCACATGTTACTTCATAAGGTTCCATTTAAATCCCTTAACTACAACTTCTTGTTGAATAGAGATCATTCAAAGTGAGAATTTCTAAAAAAAAATACATATATATATATATATATATATAATTATTTATTTAAAAAATATAACATAAATATGTTATAAAATCACTACAAAAATAGCCATTTTGTTTCAACACCTCTGGTGTCTTATCAAGTGATGATGTTGAATGTAGAATCACTTGATAAGACATGATAGTGATTTTATAACATTTATGTTATAATTTTTAAATAAATAATTATATTCACTCTATTCTGTATTGAGCACTCTTTTAAGAATAGTAATTGTTGATTATTGGAATTTATTCAGTATACACCAATCCTCTACTTGTATATGTATGTGTGTGTGTGTGTGTGTATATATATATATATATATATATATATATATATGCACAAAATAGAAAGCTTTGTATAAGCAGCCTGGCTTCATTATGTTTTAAACTTAAAAAAACATTTACTCATATGTTCATCCTCATCATCAGTCCCATGATTGTGACATTTATTCATATAATGATGGCTAAATGAATTGTTAAAAAGAAATTCTTCCTTTACTGTAGATTATATATTTTTTATCTTTTTTCCAGATTATCAACTCGGCAGCAAAAACTTTTTACATGTCAGCAGGAAATGTAAGAAATTTTGGCTTTTTTTTTTGTTTTCTTAGCATAAGCAATTTTTTGAAAATGTAGAGCAAAATCCTTCTTTTGAATTTTTGTTTTTGTCAATGCATTTTTTTCCAGGATAAAAATGTTTAAAATTTTGCTTGCCAAATAAATTTTTTTTTTTTTTTTTTTTTAATAATACTAAAAATCTACAATTTTTTTTAATAATACTAAAAATCTACAATTTTTTTTAATAATACTAAAAATCTACAATTTTTTTTAATAATACTAAAAATCTACAATTTTTTTTAATAATACTAAAAATCTACAATTTTTTTTAATAATACTAAAAATCTACAATTTTCATGAAGTTTTCTATGAAGTCATCTGTATTTTCAGCTTTCACTGTAACTCAAGCTGCCTACTATTTTTGAGTTTCACTTTATAACGCCAAATCCTGTTGCTTTTACTAATTTATATACATTTATGTGTATAGCAATTTTTCAACATTGATTAGTGTACCTGCTGTGTACATCTCAGGATTCTTGACAATATCTGAAGAAGGATCTGTAATGTAATCAATCCTGACCAGGCATCTTGAGTTCAGTCACTTTCTCACCATGACATGGCTTCCCTCTGTCTTTTCTACAAATATTTTAATAGCAACTGCTCTTACAAGCTTTTTCAGCTTGATGACCCATCTACATGAATTTGAGTGTGCTATTAGATTGGTATCTAGATCCCACCTTTTACTAAATGCAAGTGCCCCTTCTACTTTTTCTTGCACTTCCCACCTGTGGAACTCACTTCCATTTACTTGCTTCCCTGATAACTACAACCTTCAAAAATTTAAATGCAACGTCAATCACCATCTTCTGTCTTCTTCAATCCCATTCACCTGATACCCTTTCCTCAATCCTTCCTATTCTCAGTAACCCACTACATACTAGTGGCATTTCCACCTTCCTTGGGATAAAAGGATTAAAAATATATATTCTGTCATCTTCCATTAAGCTGTTTAGTCTTTGATTATTAGAGTATTTTAGCCATCTGGACTAGACATAGATGAAAATGAGATGCACATTGCACATTATCATATTGCATAGAATTTTGATACACATAACACACATGAATTATGCACACTGCTTGACAGGATATGTGAGGTCTGATTAATCAATGAAAAACCAAAAAAACACAAAAATGAAAGTATATTTTCTACATGTTTCATTTTCTAATGAAACTTATAAAAATAAAAAAGTGAAACATTAAATTTATAAAAATTTCTTATTACTTATCCTCTCTCTCTCTCTCTCTTTCTCTCTCATATATATATATATATATATATATATATATAATATGTGTGTGTATAATATAGTTATCCACAGACTGTTTCGTGACATGTGATTGCTTCAAGCCAGAATGTAAACCCAACTAATTTAACATCAGTCAGTCTCTCACTCTTAGGCTATCAGTGCATGCAGCAGAGAAAGGGAATTTTTAATGCATTATATATGAGATATAAGCATTACTGACTATGAGAGTGCTCAATTCATAGTGAAGAGATTTTAACGTTAATTAGTAGCAGCTGACAAATTCCCTTTCTTCCAAAGTGCTCAACCTATGATAGTGTGTATGTGTATATATATATATATATATATATATATATATATATTAGTGAATGTACAGGATATACAACATTGATAATACTACTCCACTACTCGGTTTCATGCAGGTAATTCAATCTTGTGGTGTGGATTCTCAATATTTTCTATCGCATTCTCGTGATGATTCAAAATTGGGTGTACAAACTTGTCTATTTAAAATATAGAATTAGCTATTAATAATTCATATTGTTCAAATTCATAAGTTTGAAAGTTGGAGAATTAAAAAATAATAAACAAAAAACAATTATTTAGGTTTATTAAATTTGATTTATCTCTGATATAAAAAAACAACAGGATGAGAAAAAAAACTAACCAAATTCTTTAAGGACCATGAACTAAAAATTAGCACCAATACCAACACTAAAGTGATCAATTTTCTAGACGTTACATTCGACCTGTGTAAGAGAATGTACAAACCCTACACTAAGGATTTACACAACCATAGGTATGTAGATAGAAGATCCAACCACCATCAAAGGATACTTGATTATTTACATACATCAGTACAATATGGATTATTGACCAACTCCAGTAACAAGGAAATATTCGACGATAATAGATCTAGATATAACAAAGCATTAGAATGCAGCAACCATAATGTGAAATTGCATTATTTTGTAAGAAATAACAAAAAAGATAAAAATAAGCTAAAACAATGCAAACACAACATAATATGGTTCTACCCACCATACCACAGTAATATCAAAACCAATGTAGGTAGAATTTTCCTGAATTTAATTCATAAACACTTTGGTCATTCTCCAATACTGAAAAAGATTTTCAACAAAAATAACATTAAGGTGAGCTATAGTTGTACAAAAAACAGAATTACATATCCTAACATAACAATAATGTATTAAGCAAGCTCCCAAGCAAAACACTAAAAAATTATTAGGCATTATATACAGAGCTAGCATCAAATCAGATGATGATGTGAAATATTACTTTTGATTCACTGAGAAAAACTGGAAATCACATTTCTACCACCACAAAATGACATTTAGCTACATCAAATACAAGAACTGTACAACACTTTCAAAGTATGTTTGACGATTAAAAAAGCAACCATAAGATCTCGGCCATTAACTGGGAGATAATCGCAAAAGCTAAGCCATACAATGGAAAGGGAGACAGATGTAACTTAGTTTCATTGGAGAAGCTTATTATATTAAAGCACTTAAATAATCCTAACTTGCTGAACACAAGGTCTGATTTAATGTCTACATGCATCCACAAATCCAAGCACTGCTCTAAAACACTGATCCTGATTAAAAGTGATTGCAAAATGGATTTTAGGAATATTAATATAGTATGCAACAACTTTTAATATTTTCAGAACTCATTATCTATAACTTTCATACATACAATACAATATTACTGTACTCAATTAATTTATAATGTGTGTGTGTGTATAATTTCACCATTATAAGTACCTTAGACATATAGTCCCGACCTATTATTTATTTACTTATTTATTTTTGCACCTTAATATTATATTTCTAATCGGCATTATAGTTTAAAAACAAAAACAAGAGTTACCCCCCTTGATATAGTGTTCACTTTCAAATTCAAATTTAATAATTTTTTTTTTTTATTTACTATTATTTTTTAATTCTCTGACTTGCGAACTTATGAATTTGAGTAATATAAATTAATAGTTAATTCTGTATTTTAAATAGACAAGTTTATTCACCCAATTTTGAAGAGAAAAAAAATGGAGAAAATTATGATATAAAAATTGTGTGCATTCAATACAAAATGTGATATCTCCCGCTCCTAAATATAGCAAACTTCAAATATGATCTGGTGACCACTTAAGGCATGAAACTGAAAATCACCATGCAGCAATTCCATGTGCAAACACTTTATATATATATATATCTTGCCTTATAAATATAGCAAATTTTTAACAATAATAATTATATCTTCTAATTTTTTCCCTCATATGCAAAGTACAGTCTCATATATTTGAAGAAGGCAGTAGAATGGATCTACCTAAATGTTAAAAAAAAAAACCCAACAAAAACAAATTTCAAACAGTTTTTCAAATGGCAATGAGTTTGAATCTCATCTAAATTTACTTTGTCTTCAATTCCTTCAACTGTCTGGAATACATCCAGTGATTTTGAATATTTTAGTTGTGTAGCCTTGAGGTAACTTATTCACTCACAGGTGAATTTATTGTGAGGTGACTCTGCCAACAGCGAGATGCTATTGAGTGAACTTGTGTACCCTGAGTTTGTCACAAGAGTGAGTAGATCAGTAAACTTTTGTGTAGGAATTTCTGATTAAACATCATGTGCAGATCTCTCGTTTGCCAGTACATTTCAGATTTGGGTCCTCATGGCTTTTGGTAATCGGCATTGAAATGGGGAAGGTCACTAACAAAATTAAAGCAAAGACAAGGCAGCTAATGGAATTTTTTTTTTGTGTGTGTGTAAAAGTGATGCTGGAATAAGTGAGTGAGTTTAAGGAGAACCTGGTTCAGCTGATGGTGATCCTGAAATAGGACTTTTCAGGCTGTTTTTGAAAAGTGGAAGGGACAATAAGCATGTGAGGTTCTGAGGAGGGGCCTTTGGAAAAGATTGAAAGATTTCGGTTCCTTTTTCTCCTTTTTTTTCGTCTTTTATTTTCCTCTCTTCTTTTTGCTTTTTTTTTTCTCATTTCTTTTAATTATATTTCCACTTTCCTCTCCATTAATGTCTGGATAGACCTTGGATTTTATTTGCTGTTATTACTAAGTGAAATTGATTTAAAAGTTCTACAATCTATCATGGTATATCTTGAAACACTTTATATCACTGCTACTATGATTATTAGTCATCAGCAAAAAAAATATGGATTATGAACAGGATTGTGGTCAAGAAATAGATTTAAAAAGTACATAAAAGTTTATTTCTTTCAAAATTTCTTATAACTGAGTTGGTGTGGCCATTGTTGTAATGGAATCAAAGTTCAAATTTCTGCCGAAAGATATTTTTGTTCTAAATATTTTCCAGTTGATTATCAAACTAATTTATTGTGAATTACTGTTGCCCTATAATGGTCGTTACATTTGCATACATATTTCACACACAAAGCATAGGTATTTGTGTCCACGTTTCACACAAATGGTGTAATAGATAGCAGCTTAGAATGAGAAATCAGAGAGCAGAGTTCAAATTTCACTCAGGTTCATTACAATCACTTACACACAAAATACACTTAGGGAAGATATTAATCCATCTATTTCCCCCAGCTATGGGTTGAATAGTAGGATTGGTATATGGAAAAATCATTGTTATTTTCAAAAAAAATTGTTGATGCAATATTCACTTGCAAAAAAAGAATTCTTCCAATCCAAAATAGGTTTTGGCTTTAAATAATCTACAAAGGTTTGATAACCTGTAATAAAACAATTCAGTCAATCAACCACATTTCATACACTAGGCATATACATTTGCTTCCATGTTTCTCTCTCTCACTCTCACACACACACACACACTAGGCATATACATTTGCTTCCATGTTTCTCTCTCTCTCACACTCACTCACTCACATATACATTTGCTTCCATGTTTCTCTCACACACACACACACACACACACACTAGGCACATGCATTTACATTCATGTTTCTCACTCATACACACACTAGGCGTTTACATTTCTGTTTCTCGGACACACACACACACACACACACAAGGCTTATGCATTTGTGTCCAGATTTTCACACACTATATGTAAAAATTATTGCGATGAGTAGGAATTTATTTTCCATATCCAGTCCATTTTTATGTGTTTTGTTTCCAGGTGAATGTGCCAATCGTGTTCCGTGGCCCAAATGGTGCAGCTGCTGGTGTTGCTGCACAACACTCACAATGTTTTGCAGCCTGGTACAGCCACTGCCCTGGCCTCAAAGTTGTCTCCCCCTACTCTTCAGAGGATGCCAAGGGACTTCTCAAATCAGCAATCAGAGACCCAAACCCAGGTGTGTTTTCTAGCTTCTATTTACCTGAAAATGTTCATTTCCTCAAATTTTTACCATTTTCTAGAATTGAATTAGCGCTCATTAACCACAAGCAAAATTGAATAAATGAATAAAACATTTTTAATAAATATATATATAATTATTTATTTAAAAATATGATTCCAAGACGCTACATAAGAAGTCTCATGTTTCAAAACAAGAGCCGAAAACTTCAATATAATTATTTAAATTAAATTGAGTCAAAATAAGCTCTGTTCCATCTTCAAGCGAAACTTTTTTTTGGATTCCAAAAAAAATTTCGCTTGAAACCCAGACACTATTACAGAACTACCAGCAGTCTGCATGGTCTGTTGTTAACAGCTGTTGTCCATGGTGTTGTGGGATCTGCATTCAAAATAATTCAAATGTCACAAGCTCAGTTGAGCTTCTATGTCTGATAGCGTTGTTCCCCCCTCCCCACATACTCTTTAGTAATTACTGTTCTAGAAGATTTAGTATTGTATTAAATAATATATATATATATTTACTCATGACCAAATTAACTTTTGTTCTTTTTATTTTCAGTTGTATGCTTAGAAAATGAACTTATGTATGGCATATCCTTTGAAATGTCTGACGAAGCACTTTCACCTGACTTTCTTATTCCCATTGGTAAAGCCAAGATTGAAAGACCAGGTAGGTTTCTGTTTTATTCTCCTCCTCTTGCTTTCAAAATTAACCTGTTCTACTAAATATCCTACTATGCCATTGTAGATTGATCGTACCATGTTATGCTTGATTTGGGAATGAAACAAGTTTGACACTCTTTACTGTTTGTCCTTCAGTGAGATCATTTTTCTTTGGTATTCCTGAAAAGTAGGTGTGTAGTAATAACTGACATAAAATTACTCCTTATTTGGTTTGGTATCATTTGCTGAAGTGGTTGGTGGGAGATTTAAATTTTACTTCAATTTTTGCTTCAAGAACATAAAATGTTATTTTGCATATGGAGATGTTTTTTAACCTGTTAATCTATTGTGTGGCCAAAAATGTTTAATAACTTTATGCACATGATTATATTGTACAGTTTACATATAATAAAAATATTCAACCAAATTATTGCAATTACACAAAGATGTTATCTTAAGAGTTGACAACTGGAGTTTTTCATTCCACAAGGAAATATTTAAATCCTTCCTGGAGAAAACAAACAGGAAATGCAACAATGAATTTTCTCATGAGTGTCAGAAAATTTCCAATATAATTTCCTTGTAGCAGACTTTTATTTTTTGTGAATCTTTAGAACAATTATTTGTTTCTGTATGAAAATTAAAAACTAAATCATCTGTTTTGATTGTGCACTCTTCATATCTGATATTGAAAGAAGTAATTAGATAATTATTGGCTTAGTTTCAAGGTTCACTATGAGTAACAGCATTTTTTCTCCCTATTTGTAGGAAAACATGCAACCTTGGTGTCCTTCTCCAAAACAGTTGGTACTTGTTTAGAAGCAGCTCAAGAATTAGCCACTCTTGGTGTGGAATGTGAGGTAAATACAACTTTTTAAGTTATTTTATAGAAATCTCAAGTGAAATAAGATGTTTTTTTTCTTTTATAAATTACATTCTTTGGATTTCTAAAAGATGGTGAGTTGAGTGATTCTATTTTTTTTTTCTTTCTCTTACCTAAACTTCAGTTTTGTCAAAAGTTGTTGGGGGCTTATGGCCATATCATGTTGAAACACCAGTTCCTGTACCTTTACTGAAGTTAAGCAATGTCTAACTTGGTCAGTTCCTAGATGGGTGACTGCCTGGGAATACTAGTTGCTGTAAGCTTGGATGTGCGGGTGGTGTAATGGATAATGGCTCAAATTGTTAATTGGAGAGACAAGTTCCAATTCTAGCTGGATTTGTTATATTCACTTACACACAAATACCCTTGGAAAGGTATGAATCCAATTCTCCTCCCCTAGCTATGGGTTAATTAGTAAAACTTGTATGACTAAATCATTATTTAAAAAAAAAAAAAAATTCATAAAATCTAAAAATATTGATGTTCAGAGCCTTGCAGCTGATCCCCACTCTGATCTTGCACTAACAGCTCAAGGAGGGGAGGGAACTTGCACGTAAATTTCAATACCAAATTCCGGGTGGTAGTATTTCATTATCTCTGATCAGAACCAGAGTTTATTTTTTCAGTCATGATGAATGGTTGCACTCAAATGCAACTCATATATAAGATTCATCGCTAAAGATGCTTAAAAAAAAATAGTCTTCTATTTGTACCCTTCCAGAAAGTATCTGACTCCTTCTACGATGCTTTATTGTTACAAGAGGCAGATTAAACCAAAAAATGGAGTTTTGTTGCCATATCTCAGCTGGAGCTGTTTCATTTTCATTTTCCAGCCATGAGAGTTCAGAAGCATTTGCTTGGCCTTGTGGGTGATGAATTGTTTTCCATCCTATTACCCACAGACAAAATGTCACAAGCCTATCACTATTTCCATGGCAAATGTTCAGACATCCACCCATCTTTAGTGCCACCCGTCCCTTTACAGCTAAGACGTGCCATGTGATATCAACAAAGTTAGACCAACTTCATTCCCTTCAATATTCCAATTGTAAAGAGAAAGTTTCAATCTGACAGCTTTTACCCCAAGAACTGCTCACTTTGTGGAAGTCACCTACATGGATGCTTTCCTGAACACTACAATCTTAACCTCTTCAAATCAAGGGTCAAGTTTTATTGTAAATTAATACAATTATGGCACAAGGCCGAAAAGGGGGAATGGGTCGATACTGGTCTTCACTATCTTATACCTAGCTAATCGGATTCATGACCCATTCACTCGTTACAATTTCCTCATTCACCATTGTCAATCACTCCTCCATACACCATAATACTACATCCTCTCGGAAAAAAAAAAAAAAAAAAAAAAATCCAATGAGATGATAAATCAAATCAAGGGTCAGTTATTATCTGTTCTCCATATTCTTATAATCTTCACTTTTTACTATTACTTACATTCATATCACACACTTCATTCAGTAACCCTCTAACTTGAGTGGCTCTTGTGCCTTGTATTGAACCAACATAAAAAAAAAAAAAAAAAAACATTCAGTTTAATTATAAAGTGGTTGTTTAGAGAATTTTGTCAGTTTGTATAAAAGAATAAAATAATTTGTCAAATGTAACATTTTTTTATGAGCAGGAGTTAGTACACTTAGCTTATTACTGCTAGTGATTTTGATTTGTGAATTTATTAGGGTGATAAATATTGATAGAATTTGTCTTGTGGCTGAGGTAGTTGTATCCTGGAACTTTGACTAAAAAGCCAAAATCAGAAGGATTTCTCCTTTGTGACTGAAATAGCTTCATCATTCCCATTAATACCAGTTCAACTTTTCTTTGAATCATTATCTTTTGGGCTTGATTTCCTTCATTCTGTCACTCACACATCTCATTTACATATTACCTAAGCAAAGTTTAGGAAATTGTGAAGAAATATCTGTAGCATCAGCATAAACTTGTCTTACCACCAGTTATGTAATTAAGACATACAGACCATCACTTGGTGAAATGTCAGTGGACCTGTACAGCTATTCATATCTTGTCATGTATCTTAGTCCACAAATGGCCACTCTTATGAATGCTCAAATGTACTGTGGGATTCAGTTAAAAAAGGATGAAACAAAATCTTCTGAAATCAAGATTTTACTTGATGTAATGGTGTTGAAAAAGTAAATATTATTTGTTATATTCAAATTTTGTAGTAAATCCACTTTAATGTCCTTCATGACATCAAATTCTATAGTGCAAATGTCTTCACCCATTTTAATCTATTGTAAATTTCTAATAATTGCCATCTTATAAGTGGATGTTTCTTTATTGAGTTATCTACAGATGAAACTGGCCATAGTGGAATAATTTTCACACTTAATTATCATATTCTTTTATCAAGGATTCTGAAGAACTACAGGAGATGAGACAACCCCTCAAAAAATAAATGGCAATGCAAAAAATTTCAACTCCCTCATTTAAACAGTCATATGCTGTTTTAAAACAGAAAATGTTGATTTCAAGAAGTTAATCTACATTGTTAATATCTGTGTGGCTTCTCATAGCTTGAATAATTGCTTCACTTATTGGGAATAGATGTATATAAACCCTTCACCAACTTCACAAGTACAAGACGCTATTCCCTGTGGTTGGGCTCTTACAACTCAAGATCATGTGGTTTCTTCTGATGAATTCATTAGTTTTGTGAACATTTGATCCATGATTTAAGTTTGAATTATAACCTGGCCAATCTTTCAAGAGAGTGACACCATTCATCAATCTGTCTTTGTGTATGCAATATGTGATAGGGGAGATCAGTAATGCTAAAAAAAAATCTTTCCTTCATCCAAATCTGATAGCAGATGTTCCTTCGACAACTGGGTGTATCTGAAACTATTCAAGTTATCAATTTAAACTAGGTACCTCCACAGATTTGCAATATCTAAGGTTTAAAATGAATTTTTAAAAATGAAAAAATCTTTCATGAAGCTTTTATTTTCAATTTCAAGCTGAGAATAAGAAAAATACTTTGTGCCTTTTAAGTACTCTGTAATCTTAAAAATCTAAGAAAATATTCTCTGTAATGTTTTATTAAATTTGGGCTTTAAATTTACTATAGTTATTATTTTCTGATAATGTTGTATATGGGCAACCATAACTACAAAAATTAGTATATTTATACATACAAAAACAATTCAAGATTCTTTTTAAACATACTCTGTGTTGTCACATTGTAATTAAGCCTTGCAATATATGATTAGTAAATATAGTTTTACTTAATAACAATATTCCCTAAAACTGGCTCAACTGAATCCGAATTTTGAAAGATTTAAAAACTATAAATTATTGTTAAAAAGAAAAAAAATCTTGTAAAAATTCATTTTTCATTGAAAAAAATTTTTTTCTTAAGGCAATATTGTCTTTAATATATATAATATATATTATTCATAAAAAGTAATTAAATGCTTTTCTAATTAAATAATGTCTTAGTGTTTTTTTGGGCGTTTTTTGTTGTTTCAGGGCAGATTTTCAATAAGGTGGGGTCTGATTTTACAAAAAAAAAAAATTTTTTAAATTCTCCAAAGAGTTCTGCTTTTAACTAATATAGTCAGTAAAAAAATTATCTCATTGAATTGCTTGAGTTTTCATAGAATTAAATGGAGTGAAACACATGTTAACAAAACAAAAAAACATTTTTAAAATAAATTAGTTTGTGAAGTCCTGAAAGTTTCATTAAAATCCAACAATTATTTGATTTTTGCAAGATTTTCCAAATGAATGTCTTTCACTGCAAAAAAGACATTAAAATTTGCTATGCTAATTTATAGTGCATCTGCTGAAGGAAGGAAAACAATTTTTAATCAAAATTTCAAACGTCTTAAAATGGTTTAAAAAAATTTAATTAAATATTCAAAAAATACTTTGATCTTCCCTCTTAATAATAACAAAGATTTTGACAATAAAATTTAGTTTTCAAGTTTGGGTCAGTTATTTTTTTTTTTTTTTTTCATAGTATGCTCTTTTTTCAGTAAATTAGTGGTGGTACCTAATTTAAACCAATTTTCTTGAACCATCCTTTTTCATGCAGCCCTAAAGCATAAAAACTCTATCACCCAAATTTCATTGTTTTCCTTGTATAACATGGGTCATTTCATGTTCCTATGACCCTTCAAATTCATACCTATTAAAATGCAACCCCATCTTCATTTCATCACTGAACCTAAACATCTGCATTCCACAGTTCATACACCACTTTGGCATATTCTGTTACCTTCAAATACTGTTTAATGCTGGTTTCATTCTTCTTAGTGTTATCTACTGACACCAAATTGAATAAGTCACATTCATCTATCACTCTTCTTTCACTAGGGATTTCGCTGTCTTGATCAATTTTCATATTATTCTATGCTGCAGCTTTCAAAGGTTACCATAATTTGGTCAATTCAAAACACTTTTAGTGCTTTGAGGATTTCTGAAATGCTGCTTCTTGTCCATTTTCTTTGTTGATTTCTCACTGGTTCATATTCTTGGTTTCTTTGGATTCCTGCTTTCTTTCATTTCTTGAAATCCAATCAGAATTTACCCCAAACAATTGCCCCCCCCGCAAAAGATAGCGGTGAAACAAATAAATGTCAGACGACCAAAAACCCTTGCATGAGTTGTCTCACATCTCCCCTCACCCAGAACCCTTCTAAAAAAAAAAAAAAGATAATTGTAAGAATGACTCCAATATAGCCTATGTTTCTTCTGCAGACAGCACAAGAAAACAGCAAATATTAGAAACTTACAAGTTTAAAATTGCCAAAGAATTTTGTTTGTGTTCTTGCAATTCACAAAGTAATCCATCAAATAATCATTACAGAATTCAACTTGTAGGCTTTCAAAATGTGCATCATGTGTTTGAGATCAAAATACAAAAGGATAATTGTATGGAATTTAAAAGCCATTCCTTCCCTTTTTGTAAATTACATTTCAGGTCATTAATTTACGTACAATTCGACCTTTGGATGAAGAAGCCATTATAAATTCAGTGATGAAAACAAACCACTTGGTGACTGTAGAGGGCGGATGGCCACATTGTGGAATTGGTGCTGAGATTTGTGCCAGGATTGTAGAAAGTAAGTGGTAAATTCTTTGAGATCTTCTTGAAAACACTAACTTTCTGTACTGAAGTTAGATGGTTCTGCTTCAAAAAGTTTACATTTCCTATAAAGAATTCAGTATTTTCATAGGGTCATTATATAGTTAGCATTTCAAAGACAAATGTTGCAAAGATTAAATCCTAAAATTCTTTTCATCTGTTATTCATGGAAGCTTTCTCTTCATAACGAATGAAAACAAGAATTTTAAGGTAGTTAGATGGAAAAGCAAGATATGTACTAATTTGATTGACACAAAACCATAATATAGCACTGAATGAGGATTGAACTCCTCATTTGTAAGATTCATAATGTAAGCTAGAAATAATCTTTTACATTGTTCAGACTATTGTCCTCATCTTTGTCGCCATATTCCTGACATTCTGGAATTTCAAATTGAACCCTTTATTTCATCCACCGGGGTAGATTGTTCTAGTTTCACACGCCATGCCTCTTCTGGACGTCTTGGTAATCTCCCTTTTAACTCAACTCTCCAAATTTTTGTTCACCTCTTCTGGAGTCAGGTACTGAATGCCCAACTCTTTGGGTCAAGTCAGTGGATTCAACCAACGCTTTTTATCCACTGGGCCAAGTGGCCGTTTGATGAAGTAATCCAGTGACTTGCCCCAAAGAGTTGAGTTCAATACATGGCTACAGCTGAGGAGGAAAAAAAAAAAAAGATTTTGAGAATAAAGGTAGATAACTGATACTGAAACATCCAGAAAAGGCATGGCATGTGGAACTAGAACAATCTACCTCAGCGTGCAAAATAAAGGGTTCATCTTGAAATGAAGAAGGTTGGTGGTGCGTACAAAAGCTGAAACATCCTGAATATGGCAACAAAGATGATAGACAGAACTAGAAATAATCTTGTGATTATTTTTCTTTCAGGTCCAGCATTTAACTATTTGGATTCTCCCATCATGCGTGTAACAGGAGCAGATGTACCAATGCCCTATGCTAAAGTTCTGGAAGAGAAAGCTCTCCCTCAGCAATTTAATATAGTTAAATCTGTTAAAAAATGCTTGAATATATAAAAAGAAAAAAAAAAGGGGAGGGGGGGATTTGAATTCATGAGAAGGAACTGTTTTGTTTTATTTCATATTTCAAAAGAAAAAAAAAAGAACAGAAAAAAACCGAAATGGTTTAGATACTTAATATTTATAATACAATCTCATTAAATGCTTCTTGTTCAAGTTTGTCAACTAGAATCATGGTTAACATTTGTTTGTTTTCTTTACTTATTTTCTTCACCTACAAAAGGAATTTGAGATTTTTTTTTTTTTTTTCTTTCCAAACTCTGACCCACAATAATCTACTTACCTCTCTCATTCATAAAAGTTTTTGCCTTTTCTCTTGCTCATCAGCCAACCTCACAAAAGAATCTCATCACTAGATTTGACACAAGAAAATAAATAAATAAAAAAAAAAAAAAAAGCAAACTATGACTGGAATTTGTGCTGTATTTTGCAGAAGATCTATTTTTCTTTCGATCTGTAATTTGAAAAACTTTTACTCTGGCAGAAAAGTAATTTTAAAACATTAATTTTAAAAAAAAAAAAGTATAAGTGAATTTTTTTTTTTTTTTAAGTCACATGCACAGAAATTTGTCATTTGGTTAAATGATGCCACCACCAAAATTACAAAAGACCAAGAAATTTTAATTTTTCTTGTAAACTTTTTTTTTTTTATTCAGTTATATATTTTTCCTCAACACAAAATATACTGGATAAGCAACTTCAAAGGGGTGGAGGGGGGAAAGTTTTTTTTTTTTTTTTTTTAATATACCCACCCCTTAAGATTTGCTAATTTGATTTTCTTTTACAAAAGGACTTTTTTTAATAATGCAGAAGCCAATTCTAAAATGGCAAAACAGAATATAATGTGATACATTATATATCATCTATTTCATATTTGGATCCATTTTCACCTGTAGGGCAATTTTAAAATCAGCTTCTGCACTGGCCAGCATGTTTGGGTTGTTGCCAAGAGGGAAGTTGTCCAAAATTATTTTTCCATTGATTTGGCAACAGTATTATTTTCTGCTGTCACTCCCCCACCCATAGTCATGCTTCATCAAACAATGAACATTTGCAAAGAGTTAAAAATCTTAAAACATCTATTTACAAAAAAAAAAAAAAAAAAATTTAGTATCTTTTCTTTTCAATTTTCCTCAGTTTAAACTTTGAGGAAAAAAAAACTAAAAGGTTCCAGCAAGTTTGTGGTAAGAAGAAAAGATAGAATTCTTTTTACCCTTTTAAAATTGGGTGCAGTGTAATAAATGGCCAAAGCTCATTCATCACATTGTTTTCTCTTTTACACTTGTTGAGTATTGTGGATGTTAGAAGTAGACAACGGACTGACTGTTGTTCATGGAAAAAAAAAAGAAAACCAGTCCATGTCCAAAGCAAATGGTAACGGAACTTACTCCCTCCCCAACAAATAATGAAAGGTGGAAACTATACTATCTGAGCCATTATACCTGCTCTTAACAATTGTATATGCAGTGAATAAATCAGCTGATTAACCAAGTGGCCAATCGCACCATTTACATATTCAATGCACTTGCAAACCCCTTTTTAAGTTTTTTTTTTCTAAACTATTAAGCAGAAATACATTTGTATCCAAGCCAACCAACCCTTTCGACATGTAACACAACTTAAGAACCATCAGATGAGCCACAACCCCTACCCTCATTTGTTTAAGTAGCAAAACATTCACCTTGTGAAGTTATTTAAACTGACAAATATTTGCCCTATTTACTTTTTTCTTCTTCCTTTTAAGAGACCTATATATATTTATATATATATATATATATATATATATATATATATATATATATATACACACACACCACTTTCATAGAAAGATAAATAAGTGTAATCTGCACATTTATAAAGCATTTTTTTTTTCTTCTTTTGGCAGAGTTGTGGCTCATTTTACAATTTTTTTTTTCTTTGTAATGGCTGGAAAAAGTAAGTTTACTTGTAAGAATAGATACCAAAAGAAGCAAAGTATGTAATTTATTGTTACAGATGTCAGATTTTACAAGTATACCTGGATGTGCTTAAATGTGTAGTGGACATGAACACTGAAAACCAAGGCAAGCTATTCTTCAACAAACAACTTAAACATTGTGAAGAATACCAAGCACAAAAAAAAAAAAAGTTTTCATGGTGGACTATTTTGTATGGAAGTTTGTTTGTTTTTGTTTTTTTGTTTTTTTTTAAAATGAAATAATTATTTTGTTCAGGTCATTTTAAACACACTTGCCCAAATCTTTAGTTTTGAGACTAAAACACGGCATTGTGATGATTTTGGAAGTTCAGGAGTTTAACTTATACCAGCGAGCAAGGGGGTTTGAAAGTCCTGTACAAGGCCAAGAGAAAGAACTGTGTCCAAAGAACTTAATGAAAAAAAAAAAGGTGGGGTTGGAAGTTAGAAAATGATCATACCTGTATAAATCTTGTCAGCGTTCCCAACTAATGTGTAGAGAGAGACTGGCCTTATGATGTTAGGAACAATTTTATGAAGTGTAATTTTTGCCAATATTTTGTTTGATACCATATGGTAGCTACTCTGTGTTGTCTGTTTTTCTTTTTAAAATAAAATGTCAGGTGAGGGGGGTGTAGGCATTTGGATAACAGGGTAAGAGAAAGGAGATGAAATTCTTTTTTTCTCTAAAGCATTTGACAAATTTAAATGCTGTCAAATTTTTAAACATCCAATATGGTATAAACTTGAGATGGATTTTTTTTTTCCCTCTCCAATGTTCAAAATGGTGAAATGAGAATCTGTAAGGATATTGAGAACTAAAAATTCTTCAAGCAGTTTGTTACAGTTTATGGTAGATAAAGAAAAAGTCAATAATAGAATGATACTGAGAAGATGAAAGAAAGAGTTAGCTGTGAAGATGATTGAAATGATAAATTAAAAAACAAAAAAAACAAAACAAATTGGCTCAGAAGTGGTAAGGTGAGAAGGATTGGTGGCAGAAATAAAAGACAAAGCAGCAGCAGTAAAAAAAAAAAAAAACAAATCTGAAGAGGATAAATGTGATAATAAAAGGAATTGTGTGTTATATCAAAAATAAACAAGATGCAAGTGGTTTTTTTTTTTTGTCAGAAATTGGCTTGTTGATTGAATAATCTGCCATTGACTAACTTGGATCTGAAGGGCATCTTGAGAGAAAGTGACAATGTTTACCAAAATTGTTGTAAATGCCATAGAATTATTTGACTGAAAATTAAAAAAAAAGATTTATAGCATTTTTTCTTTTTACGCTAATAAGTTATCTAAGATGCATTGTAATCTTTCTTTGTACATGCCTGAACTGACACTACACACAAGTTACAAGCACAAATTTTATAGTAAACACTTCAGAAGGTGTTTGTTTTGTTTTGTTTTGCTTGACCAAGGAACAAAAATATAGCATTCAAATCACCAGACTTTGTAAAATTGTATTTACCACTGGCTGCTGGAGTGAGTGGGGGGGAATCAATCAATCTCAATCTCTCTGTAACAAATAGATTTATATATTGTGGGGAAAAAAATATTCAGAAGTTGCCACATTTCTACCATCTGTATATGCACTAAGAGTATTATGTATCTTTCGATACATGACTGACGAGGCAGATTTTTCCCCCCACAGTAGGTTATCATTTCTTTCTGCAGTAGATCAGTTCTATACTTCATTATAAGTCTACAATAAGGGAATATTTGCTTACAATCAACATGAGGTAGAGAAGGGATTTTTTTTTTTCTGATCTTAGGATTAAAAAAAAAAAAAAAAAAGTTGACTAAATAGTGTTTTTTCTAGAAATCTATGCAAAGGAGTTTTATACGCTGACCAATTTCAAATCATTTTCACCAATTAAAATAAGAGACAATTTCCTAATCCTAAACTAATGCTTCCTTACAATGATGGCAAGCCTTCATTGAGCATTAAAAAAATATTCTTAATGACAAAGAAACAACTTAAGAAAGAAAAATCGTGGAGAATATGGATGATAGGACTATACAGAGACTTAAAAAAAAAAATGAAGGTTGGGTGGGCAGTACTCAAATTCTAAAATTATCTTTTAGGAATCTTAGGAAACCTTTTATAAAAAAGTTTTCATTTGTTTTCTGGACTGTATACACAAGTATTAATTATATTTCCAGTGACTATAGCTGAGGATGATAGAGAAAACCTAGAATAGAGATGGGAGCAGCCAGTGAATTATAAAGTCTAAATATGCCATGGTTATAACAATTCTAAAAATCAAATTATTTTTTTTTATTTTAGCTTATTAACAAAGATGTCTGAAAATAGGTCATGTTGAAGTTGCAGAATGACAGTTTTACATGCAAAGAGTTAAGGGACATGACATGCACAATGCAAATAAATCAAAATCTGTCCACCAGAGGGCACCCACTGACAAAGCAGTTAAAAAAAAGTTTGAGAGAAGTTGTAAAGAATAGAAGGAAATGTAAGAAAGACTTTGGCAAAGGCCGAACGAGTTACAAGGCTGGAAAAACTAAGGAGATAAAATAATTTCCACTATTTGCTAACGAGTAATTTGTATGCAGTGTGAAAAAAAAAAAAAAAAGATAAAAAAATGACTAATTATTATAAAAAAAAAAGATGAGTAAAGCCGGGCCCAACATGATTTGTCACAATGCTACAGATTTAAAAATTAAAAAAAAAAAAAAAAAAAAATATATATATATATATATAAATAAATTGTGCAATATTAATACGTGGTTTGTTGTAATTGTGCAAAATTTACTTTCTTGCTTCCCAATATAAAAAAAAAAAAAAAAAAAAAGAAGCAATATGATGTAGTTAACTGACTGAAAATTAAAGAAATTGAGTTGATATTGCAAGATGTTACAAACAAATAAACAAGATTCAAACTCAGACAGTTCCAAATTTTAGAATCAAGATAAAACCCTGACAATTAATACTAGACACTTAATAGTCAATATTGTTATACAATTTTTTTTTTAATAGTTTGCACAATCTAAAATAATACAAAAAAAAAAAAAAAATTCCTGTAGTGATATTAGTCAAGTACATGAGGGGCCCACTTTACTTAGGCTGTATGATCAAATGGACGGACAGTTGGACGCTTGCTTATTTCTACCACTCAACAAGCAAGTTGAAGCCACCCCTTCCTTAGTAACCATCTGTTTGTTTATAGCAAGAGCACAGCACACAACAATAGTATAAAGGGAGAAATGTGGGTATTGCAGAGAAGAAGCAGTTGTACTGTGCTAAGATGGGGAATAGAAGGAAAGAAACGCTGAGAGTGAGATGAAAAAAAATAACACGAGTAAAAATTGTGGCTCATAATCTTTTACACACGCAGTTTATAGTGTTATAGAGAAATGTATTTTTTTTTTTTTTAACTCCACAAACAATATGGAATCTTAAAAAATACAGGAAATAATTTTCTTTTTTGCAGTTAGATTTTTTTTTTTTTTTTTAAATGAGGTAGACGCAAAGAATGACCATATTCCAAATAACAAAATTTACAAAATTCTTTTAAAAAATTATTTCAAGAAATCTTAATTTACTTTAACATTTAAAAGATGGAAAATCCTATTAAAAGAGGATAGATTTTATTCTTTAAAAAGAGAAAATGTCTTATTTAAAGAAAAAGTTATAAAGGACAGGATTTTATACATTAACAATAACATATGAACAGAATTAAAATCAAAACTTAATCATTCTTAGGGGTAAAACTAAGAACACAATACAAAGAAAGAAAAAAAAAAATGGGCTTTTTGAAGAGACCCACACCAAGAACTAACTAGAGAATGAAAATAGCTCTATTATCAATGAATCAAACTTGATAAACTTAAGCAGGTTTAGAGAATTTCCCAAAAAGAATTAAAAAGAAAAATTGTAAAAACAACAAGACTCAAAGATGCAACAGCCAGGGAACATGCCCTACCCAAGAAAAAGGCCAGGGGGCAAACACAGCATCCAACAAAAAAAAAAAGGAAGAAATTAGAAAGTAATAGTACAATGTAAAGAAAGACTTTTTCTGTATAAGTGTGAATATGTGTGTTTTTCAAATGAATAAATATCTTCTTCCTCAACTACAACTGTATTATTTATAATCATAACAGTGTTGAGAAGTCCTAGAAATAGTATGAGAAAATGTAAAGGGGGATAATGATGTTGCAATGAATGACAAGAGAGAAAAAAAAAAAAAAAAAAAAATGTGAAGGCACTGCAAAATGAGAGTGTAATTATGTCATCTCCAGAGTTGATTTATGGAATGGCTGTGACAGAGAGTGCATCCGACTACTTGTAGACGGGTGCATGGGAGTAATTGCCACCCGAGAGTCTGGAAATCTTTCATGGTAATATTCCAGACGGAGGTACTTCACTGTCACAAGTCGTCCTACAAAACAAACCGAAAAAAAAAAATATAAATACATGGTAAGAACATATATTGAAAATACAAAAAAAATTAAAAACTCTAAAAAAGATTGACTGATTTAGTTTTTATGGCTTAACCCTTTGTGGGTTATTTAAAGATGAAACATTTTGGATTATAAGATTATTTTTTTTTTTTTTTGCATTAATTTTTTAAAGATTAAGATTTTTCTAAATACAAGTCCTATTTAACCCATAGTTTGGGGGATCAAGTCTCAAAAGAAGAGAAGTTATTAGACAAGACAACATTTTCACAGTGCATGTAAGATGAGAATGCTAACAATTGTTCCCATTCACCCCTAATTTTGATAGGAATGGTTTCATTATTGCAGGTGCAAAGATTAATGAGCTATTTTCGTAAGCCATTGCTGCTGTGGATGCTCATCATTGGACACCCAACAACTGAGGTCTTATGCCAGAGTTAAATATCAACTAGAAGATATTTCTACAAAAAATTGTATGCACATTTTTCCATCATTATAAAGAATTTAACAATAAATAAATGAAAAGGAGAAGTAAAACTTACTATCAAACCACCAGCCATGTAGAGCCCTATGGACTTGGCCTGCTGTAACACAAGTGTCACATTTTATGTACACACATCCCTGAAAAGACAAGAAGAAAAAGGTAGAAATAAAAATAATTTTCTACATTCAAAATGTTCCTGAGGTAGGTGGGGGAAGTTAATGTTATGCTTACATTTGGATTTCAAATAGATGCGCCCAGCCATTATTCTTTTTTGGAGAAAAATTCACTGGGATATCCTTATTCAAGCCACCCCTTTTATTTGCAACCCAAAGTTGCCCAGCCATGATCATAACATCTACATAGTAAAGTGAATAATTTTATATGAGCCTGAAGTTTTATGATCATGTAGACAGTAGAATCTACAACTGATAACTTCAAAGCAACAACCCACTATCCAAAAATAAATAAATGAAAATTTTCAGGATCAAGTGCCACTCGGTAGGTAAGAAGTTCTAGTCATAGCAGAGTGAGTGATGAGTCACACATTTGGGCAGAAGGGCAGTTGGAGTGATTGTTAGAGCAAGAGAAATGGTGAGTCAGACACAGATGGAATTGTCATGAGAGAAGACAGAAATTGCAGTAAAGATCTCCCAAATGTTGCTTCCCCTTCAACATGTGAATAAATAACCCAAGATATTGAAACAAGACTCGTGTTTTCTTTTAGTGATATGAGATAATTTCACCTATTCCTTTGTTGAACTTACAGTGAGTCTTTCCCAGTTTATGTTCAACATCAATGCTAATGGAAATTTACTCATATTGTAGGATGAAATCATCTAGTCAGCGAAGGAGGTTTTCATAGATAGAATTTATTTAAGTAAATGTTCTGTTTTTAATTAAACAGTATTAATTACATTTACCAGACTGAATGTTTGAGAAATTTCATAGAAAACATACATTCTCTAAAAGGAATCAAACCTGTATTCCTTTATGTAAAATATCATTTGATCTGAAAGCCAACACCATATAGCTACAGAGAAGTGCCTGGTTTGCAAAGTCCAAATTACTGTTTATAAACACACAATCTTTGTGAGCAGAAATGATCGACTGAGAAATATATAATATATAAAATGTGTGTGTGTGCGTGTATGTATATTAGCAAGAAGCTTATATATCATCATAAAGTAATTTATACAAAGAATTAATGAGATTAATGATGAATTTATATGTGTGTGTGTGTATATATATATCATATTTATTTATCTTTTTAATAAATAAGTATCATTAAATAAGTCAAATTCTACTTTAAGATTCTGCAGCCCGAGTTTGATCTGAACTGTTTCAAACAAGACTGAATACAGTACTGTTTTGTCAGTTTAAAGTGTAAAATCAATAGGAAATTTTCTTTTTTATTATGATTTATTAACATTTTGAGGGTTATTTGAAGCTGAAATATTTTGGATTCTGAGTGAATATTGCATTAACAATTTTTTTGAGAATAACAAAGACTTTTTCCAGATATAGTTTCTACTATTTAACCCACTGCTGAAAGAAGAAAATGGCTTTACACCTCTCCCAAATATATTTGCACATAAGTGAATGTAGCAAACTCAACTGGAATTTGTACTTTGCTCTCCACTTTTTCATTCAAAGCCAATATCCATTACACCAACTGTGCATCCACCCACATGAAACCAACTATACACACTGATATATGATAGTATGGAATTGTCTGGAAAGTTCATGCCAATTTTTAAGGGAAATTAAAACACAAAAACATTAAATATTTATTTAACTAAATATGAAGCATTTTGTTGAACAACCTTTATTCATTTTTCCTTCAACTTTAAATGAAAATCCAAAGAAGCAATGTCTGGTGAATATGGTAGGTGAGGTAATACATCCTAGCCAAGCTGCAACAATTTTTGCCAGGTTGCCAAAGAAACACGAGTTCTGGCATTATCCTGATAGAAAACAACACCTTTTCTGTTCACCAATACAGGGTGTTTTTCTTGAATTGCAGCCTTTAATTTGGTCAGTTACAAGCAGTACTTTTCAAAATCAAATTGACAGCTCATCATACGGAATTCCTTTCCAATCCAATGGCTTTCTTAGGATGAAGACCTGCTTTTGAGGTAAGCTAAAGTTGGCCCATGTCACTTAACCCTAGGATCTTTTTCACTGAACATTGTTGTAAATGATCCATTTCTCATCACCTATTACAATTTGCATCAAAAAGGGTGCATTTTCATTGCATTTATACAGAAAATCACAGATAAAATGCAATCCTAAAGATTCTTTTCACTCAGATCATGTGGTACCCAAACACTAGCGATTTGAGTATCCAAGCTTCACTCAGTGCTCATGATTGATTTTGATAAATTTAATGTGTCTGCCAATTCCTGCATCGTGTAATACAGGTTATTCTTAATCAATGTCTTGATTTGGTTGTCATCTGGAGTCGGGGAGGGACTGAGCGTTCTTCATCAATAAAGCTAAAATTACCAACTCTAAACTTAGGGAATCACTTCTGTACAGTTCTGTCAGCTAAAGTTCACCGTATCCAGCACATATCGTTTTTGTTGCTTGCAAGCATTTTTGCCTTTACAGTAAACAAAAAAAAAAAGCCATCCAGTGTCTAAAATGCACATATGCAAACTTTGATCTTTATATACTAGTGTACACATATGGTCAAAAATGATGGCAACTGTTACAAAGTTTTAATAGCGAGATTCAATGAAACAATGTATTAAGATTCAATAAAGTAGAAATAAAGAATTGACAACTAAAATAGAGGCCAATGAACCGTTTAATTAATTTCTTCACTTTACATATTTTTTAGGACATTCTATGGTATCAAAGATTCCTCGATTACTCTTAGCATTATATAAATCACTTTTTGCTCAATATCTTTTCATATTAAAAAATTTATAACAGTAAAATGAAAATTTCTCAGATTAGGAACAGAATAACAAAGACAGTGATGACAAAGCCTTTTTCAAGAACAAGTTGAAGCAAGATGATCACTTAAAGGTATTTGAGTGCCTCACAAGAATGGCTTGAACAAATAAGACTACAATCTAAGAAACATAGGAGTAATGGAACTGATTAATTAAATGGTTCATTTTGCTTGGGAAGTAATTTTGTCTAAATCCAAATAAATATTTTATTTGTATAGTTTATTAAAATGACAAAGGGAAGTAATCACTCAGAAATTTACTAACTTGATTTACCTCCATTCCCACTAAATATATGGACAGGAAATATATAAAAGAAATACACATTGAACATTATCATATGGTTTCATGATTAATGATAGTGAATAGCAGACCTTAGCACTGATTGCATTTATGCAATAATGAGTAGAGCACCTTAGCATTATGATGTATTATAGTGACAGTAGTGGATTGTGATTATTGTTGTGTTAGATTGAATAATCATTTGTGTCTTATATAAACAACCTAGTTAGTTCGGATGTTACTGTGTTTTACAATTACAAAAAAAAAAAAAAAAAATTTTTTTTTTTAAAATCACTATATAAAAATAAGTTTTAATTTTTTTTTGTTGTGAAAACTAAAAGTACAAAAATTTAAAAAAGGGATCAAGAACAGAAAAATCCCAATGAAGGGATCTTTGTATTATAAAAAAAAAAAAAAAAAAAAAACTATAATCAATAAAACAATACTGAAAACTGCCAAAACTTTAGTATTTAACTATAGTCCCTTAGTTCTTTTCACCTTTTCGATTCCTCTCTAATTCTTTTATCACTGAAAATTTCTTACCTCTCGAGAACTTTTATCCACATACATGTGAAGTATTCCACTGATGTTTTTACATTTTTCTAAAATTGCATCTTCTATATTGATATGCCAGTTTTCACCTTCCTCCCTGGAATTAAGAACATTCATTTTCAAATTTCTAACACTTAATCAATAAAAAAACAAACAAAACCACTAAGAAAAAATAAATAAGTAGAAGAAACAAAATCACATCATAAATCCTTTGATTAACAAAAAAAGCATTTTTTTTTATTAAAAATAATCAAATGTATAGCGAAAGCCATTCTAACAAATAATTTATGCTAATTTTTATTTTAATTTCCATAAGTTGGTTTGTTAAAAATGGAAAAAATATCAATCTTGTGTACACAATAGCAGTCGATAATTTTGACTGCTGGTGTTATTGGACAGGATGTGGCAGAAATACCTCCCACATAATGATAACACATTAGTATCAATGATGTCTTCATCTATCTCATGTCTTACCATTATGTGTGGTGAGGATATTTCAGATGCACATTATTTGATGGCATAAACAATATATGGACATATTAAACTTGCTTCCTCCATTTCCTTAAAGCAAACTATCAGTACATTATAAAACATTACAAAGACACTTTGGCTATAACAGAAAGTCTATATATAAAAAGCAAGCTAGCAGTAGTATTAAACAAAGCAAGAACTCATAATAGTGAAAATATTCTACAGGATTACAGTAATAAAACATACAAGAGAAAAAGTAGAAAACATTTTTATAAAAAGCAAGCTAACATTACAGTTTTAACATAAAAACAAAACAGTAGATGAGGTGGAGCATTTAGTGTTCCAGAACATAAAACTTTAATCATCATCAAAACCAGAAACATCATCATGAAAGCTTAAAACCTCATCATCACTACTGCACATATACCAACTCCTGTCAACAGAGTCACATCTTTGGTAATGGAAACCAATTAATGTAACACCTTTCACCACCATCTACACCCGGTGGTGTAACCAAGTTTAGTAGTCTGGTCCTCAGGGTCTTAGAATAACATTTTAAACACGGGGTTAACTCTGCACTGGTCAATGCTGATGCTGGTCCAAGCTGGTTGTTGATCACTTTGATCCACACCAACTCTGCCCACATTGTTTTCTTGATCTCAGAGCAGTGGAAAATTGAATGTCATCGTAATGGCAGCACTGGTTCAAGCTGTGTTAGGTGCTATATTAAGGAAGAAAAATATCTTCACAACAAAAAATGAAACCAAAGATTCATGGGGTTAATCTTCAATTGGTTTATGTAGCTCTTGGTACATATACTATAATGACAGTGGGCCTTGTCTAAACTTCTGAAGTAGCTAGGTTCAAAGTCTTAGAATCAGGAAATCTGGTGGCAGCTGACATGAATTCCAATGCAGTTTCTCAGCCCAAGTCTTTGAGCTCCCCAAAGACGTCTGCTTATATGCACTTTGGTCCAAAACTGTCATGGGAGATTTGGTGATTCCCCTATTTTCATTAATTCCCATAAAGGTTTTCTTTGTTTCCTATTTCTGCTTTCTGAATCAACTTTCCTTGGGAGTAGTCATCAAGATTGCTCCTCCCTTGACTCTAACCTGCTTTGCTTCACTGCTACTCTACACAGGCAGGACTAAATTTTGCCCCTTCCTCCTTCCTTCTCAACATTCTAACTCTGCCCACTACTCAGGGCTGACAAATCTAATTTTTAAAGTGCATAGGAGAAAGGACATGGTTTATTCTCCTCATTAATTTCAATTCTTTGACTCCTTTCCTGGATCCACTTGTCCAGCAAAAACATAAACCAGATCACTTTCTCATTTTAACCTTAGAAATTATTTCTGAATTTGTTTTCATCATGAAAATATATTTGTTTACCTAAATTCTCAACAAATAGACATGCCGTTTTTCATCCTTGGATCGGTTGCAGTCTTAGCAAAAACATAAACCAGATCATCTGCTTTTTATGATGGACTGATTTTCATGATCCTAACCCTCTCAGCAGATTCATTCTCTGTTTTCATTTCTCGATTTGTTTTCACTAATAAAAATATAATTCCCGTCCGTTTCTTGATTTTGGTGCTTACTGGCTCACGCTCTTACTGTAGGTTCCATGCTGCTTAGAAGTACTCATAGATCTCCTCATTTTGTAATTTGCAGGTGGTTTCTTTGTTTAGTAAGAAGCTGTGTAACTGCATTGAAATGACGTTTAGCCATATAGGAAGTTGGAAAATTAATGGAGAAAAGTTTGATAGCTTCCTACAGAAATTTCCTTCTGTAGCCAATATTGAATAATTTTTGATAATTTGAGAGAAAATATATATATATATATATATATATATATATATATATAAAAATAAAAAGTATGTCTCTTGAGTATGTTCACAGCCCCACAAATGAAATCAAAACTTCCAGTGCCTCTTTTCAACATAAAAGAGCCCATGTTAGGAAACATTGGCCTACAGTAATGAGTAAAATTAACAATTTATTTGTATATGAAATGCAAGGCATTATTTTTTATTAAAAAAAAAAAAAAAAAAAAAAAATGCATTAAATAATATATTTGTAAATCAACCTTTCTGCCAAATTAAGCACATGGCATTGTGACAAATAATCAAATAATCTAATGATGCTTAATACTTACATGTCAACTTCAAACATGTTTCGAACTTTCAAACAGGGTGTGGGGCTGTAGGGGGGAGTACCAGCATCATCATGTTCTCCAAAAGCTGAAAATGAAGAAATGAAAACCAAATTCTTATACTGTCCACAAACGTAATCTTTAAATAATTTAATCAAGGATGCTGAAAATACCATTGATAGAACATGCAAGAAAAAAAAAAAGTCTTGAGGAAAATGGAAACAAAAAGGACACTTAGAATCAGAAAGAGCCAGTTGAAATTTCTAGGATATATAATGAGGAAGGAATGCTTGAAGAATTTGGTACTTACAGGATAGAGCAAAGAGGACAGGGAAAGGTCATCTCCCTGACGAACTTGTCAGAATGGTGGAATGGAAGGATGGGATAGAGGGCAAAGGGACAAATGTTGCAAAGAGCTACATGGGATAGGAGGTTGTGGAGAACCAGTTCCAGAAAGGATATGGCACATAGAAGACATGTTGATGCAACAAGGCTCAAGAAATCAAGGTTTTTATCAATATCCTCCAATTTATATTTCCACGACATTTCATTTGCCAATGCAATTAAATATCTTTGTTGATTAAAAGGGACCCTCAGAACAGAAAGGCATTTTAAACTGTGACAAGTCCATTTTTTTTTTTAATCATGATAAAAGAGAAATTTATCTCATATGAATGTTAATGCATATATATATATATATATATATATATATATATATATATATATATATATATATATTCATTTATTTATTGCACATTGCAGTCAGAGGTTAAAATTCAAATAAATGCTTTAAATAAAAAATAAAATTAAAAAAGTTTTGCCTACCTTTTAACCAAAAACATTTCATTTATGCAAAAAAAGTTCTCGAGATAAATACTGGCTAAATTATGTCACTGACATTATTTCACAAATTATTTGGACTAATATAACTAATTTTGAAATAAGGAGAAACAACTGCTTTCTTGTACTATTGAAATGGCAATTTTTCAACTGCTTTCATCTTCTAGAGCTCATGGGTGTAGGGAGATAGACAAAAAAAAAAAAAAATTTTTTTTTTTTTTTGAATTGCAGTTGTAATGCTCTTTCTCCTGGAGAGAAACGATACTGCATATTCATTGATATAGAAGATATACTGAAATCATACTGAAGGCTTTGTGATAAGTTCACTTTGGATTTGTTTTTTCACACTAGTTTTATAATAAAAAGAAATTAAAATTTTGAAATTTCCGGGATATAATGAGGAAAGAAACCTTGGAAAATTCATGACAGTGAATGCTGAATAATTTCTTCACAGATGATAAGTATACTTGAAGCAACAGAGATGTAGTTCTACAGAAAGATGCTGAGAATACTATGGATGGAGAATGAGAGTAACAAAGAAATTTTAAGAAAAATGGGAACAAAATGGACACTTATAATTAGAATCAAAACAAGGCAGTTGAAATATTTGGGACACAATGTAGAAAGAGGGATTGAAGAAGTTAACATTCACAGGACATATTGAAGGCAAAAGGGACAGGGGAAAACATCAAGTGACCTATTTAACATGGTTGTATGAATGCATAGCAAAACAAGGAGGGACAGGGATAGCAAAAAGTAAATAAAAAAAAAAAAAAAAAAAAAAATAGTAAAAAACATTGATAAGAGCTTTAAAAAAAAAAAAAAAAAAAAAAAAAAAGGACAGGAAATTGTGAAGAGCCATGATTGCCCACATTCTGAAGGGACACAAGCACACAGGAGAAGATTGTGTTAAAATTGCCCTAATGGGAGTTAAGTCCTAATCGCAACAAACATATCTGTGTTGTATATTTTTTTTTTGTTGAGGGAATTGGTTTGGACTGAGATAAGGGAAACCTGTCATTACTTTCTGAAATGATCCTTTTAATTGTAAAGTGAAAGTGGATAACATATAGGGCAGTGCTGGGGCTACTAGAATCAGAAAAATACTCAGTCTGCTAGATTAAACATTCAAGTTAACAGTTAACTTTCTGAAATATCTTCAAAGATTTTATGACTCATATAATGTATATACTCGAGTATAATGCAAATTTTTACAATCAGTTTTTTTTTTTTTTTTGGAAGAACACAAAAATAGTGAGTCGCACTACACACAGGTAATTTTTTTTGAAGAGGTTAAAAAAATCATTGATTTTTAGTGGCCAGTTGCACCATACACAGGTAAATTTTTTATAGAGGGGTTAAAATTCATGTCAAAAAATTCAGGGGTTGTACTATACATGAAGTCAGCTTATACAGTAGTATATACAAGATGTCTAAACACTATAAAGTAATATTTTCTTTTAAAGTAATCTTCTTTCCATTTGATTGATACGTGTATACTTCGTCGACACATACAACGCAATTCTTCCAGAGTTTGCTATACATTCATCCTGAATATAATTTCAACACTCTGAGAACAACAATGCACATACTTCATCAAATCATGTATTTATCTTCACCTGATAACACGTCAGGAATCACGCCTCCAATTTTAACCAACTTTCTCTATTCAAATCACATCTTATTACATATTGAAAGTTTCTCTTTTTTTACTTCTCAACTTTCAGTCTGGGGAGGGTATTTTAGCATTCTGCTTTCATTTGTTTGTATCATATTATTATTTTTGATTCAGTGAATACTATTGATCAAAAAAATTTCAATGCATTTTCTGTAATAGTTTCTTTTGACAACAATTTTTGAACAAACACTAAAGTGGATCAAAGCCTTGAATAATTTTCCAACTTCTGATTGGCTAATATATGTGAAAAATATTACAATGCCTGAACAGTTGCGTTCAAAGTCAATTTACTGCCAAAATCCAGTTATGTATTCTCGAGCCTATCACGTGGTTCACATTAATTATAAATACTTTGATACATCTTCATTCATTCTCTTTTCTCTCCTTCTTGCCTTCTTTTACATACAAGATGTAGCTCAGTGGAGAGGTTGCGTTTTTCCCTTTGAGGAAAACGCTATGAAACATCTTGGCGTGCACACACACACGTATGTATGAACATCGCACATCTACAAACATCTATGAAAATTAACTCCTTCAACCACAAAGACAGAAACACTTAACATAACATTGTGAGTAACACAACTGTTTAATTCTCTTACAAGTAACAATACATCTTACTAAAGTTCTCCAAACTCACACTTTTTAATACACATCACAGTTTATCAACAGGAACATTTTCCTCACTCAAAATTCCAAGGACAATTAATTTTTAGCATTTCAGACACAACTGAATTACTGTCTGTACAATTGTTGTTATGCATGTATAAATTCCATTTACTTATGCAACTTTTCTTCTTGAATGTTATTCTTGTTTGCTTATTTCTTGTTAGCATATTTGTAAAGTAAAAATAGTATGGGTTGAATTGAGGCCATACATCCGCTACAAGTATAAATCTGTCTATATACATGCAACAGCCAAAACGTTGTGATAAATATGGCGATAAAGATGAGGCAATAGTCCGAATAATATAAATCTGTTTCATATTTCTTATACACACAATACGTACATAGACTGAACCATCTTTCAAAAACCAATGCAGAAATTTAGGTGTATAAAGAAATAGCATACAAAGTAAAGTGATTCTTATATATTATATTTGAATCAACAGGAAAGAAGTGTTCCCCGCTGCTAATGAATATTCTAAAGTATAAATCAATAGAATTTTGTAGTTCACAAATATTTGCATTTACAACTTTAGAAAAACCGATTAAAACTGCTTTCAAAATGTCATATCGAGTTTCCAAGATTAATCTATGAAATAATTAAAGAAAAAAAATTTAAAAAAGAAAATTTAAATTTAAGTAAAAATATAAATGACTAACCTTGGCCTTGCCATATTTTTCCACCATTATTCAAATTCTGTTAGAATAAAAAAAAAAAAAAAAAAAAAAAAATGATACAAGAAAAACCAAAATAATTTTAATTCCCAACTAGCATGTTTGTTTTATTTTTAACTTGATAACAACTTATGATAATTTCTCAAAGAAATATGTTTGATTAATATTATATGAAGTAGTTACAAGATTTTTTTTTGTTTTTTTTTTATAGGTTTCTGCATGGTGATTAAAGTAATTGTTATTTATTTGTCCTCTTTCGAAAAATGTTCTCAGACTATAAAATAATTACATAATTTTAAATGAGACATAATTACAAGGATACATTCAAAAGAAAATGATTACCAACAACAAAAAGATGTCTTTTGCCAAAATTTAATGAATATTCTACTGATCGGTTTATCTCAAATAGGTGAAAGAAGAAAAAAAAAAAAAAAAAAAAAAAACTTACTGGTAGCCATCGCCACACCTGAAACTCCTCCCCTTCAATAACCCGAGTTTCTAACCGGATTCGAGATTCATTATCTTCAATAAATTTGGCAGCTTTCTCCCAAGTAGACAGTAATTGTTTTCTGTAAGCAGCAGTATATAAATAAATTAAAAAAAAATAAAAATAAACAATTTTATAAGCATGAATGATTAAATAAATAGATATCAATAAATTCACTAATAAAAATCACTTATTTACTTTGGAAAAAAAAATATCAACATGGTAATATTTTAGAGTTTTTAATTTCAAAATATTTGGTCTTTTTAAAGCTATGAAGTAATGTGTTGAATGTAAAATTGTATTATTTTAATTAAAAAAAATAAAATAAAACAAACTACTCTTAACCACAGAAATAATGCAAAGAATTTTGGACACACAAATGAACTAAAAATTCTGATGAAGTTAACTACTTAATACAGCATGTTTTTTTTTAATCATTTCACCTCAAGCAAGATGATAAAGTTATGACACAGTAAGCCCTACTAAGAGTGAAAGAATCTAGGAAAAAATCATTATTGAGGAGGACAATAAAAGAACAGGTTTCAAAGAGGTATTGACTGAAGTTGAATTTAAATTTTTGAAAGAAAAGAAACCATTAGGATAGAATTTATGCTTTCACTTAGCAATTTCAACAGTAATATGATGAAATCTAGCTGCCAATCTAATACTACACTTAAATCCATAAAGCCATGGTATAAAGGCGGAACAATTAGCATCCAATTATTTCTGTCATGAAGAAAATCTGTTTTCACTAAAGCCCAGCCTAATCTGCTATTTAATACATAGCTAGAAGGAGAAGAGATGGATTCATATCACTCTCAAGAGCATTAGTGTAAAAGTGAATGCAACAGACTAGCCCAGCATTTGAACTCAGTTCAATTCCACTTTATGCACCAATACACCTGCATATTGTTAGGGTACCTAAAGAAATATTTCAAAGCGTTAACAGGGAAAAAACAAAGTTGGAAGGGCAAAAGAGAAAATTGTGAGGGAAAATAAATGGGACTGAGGAAAAAAAGAAAAAAAAAGATTAAGTAATTGAAAATGGTGGTAAACAATAAAAACACTCACCTATGAGCAGGAGGCAGAAGCTGATCTCTTACATGTTGAACTGCCAAATATGCATCATCATCTTGTCGAGCCATGGCTTCACAGTGACATTTCAGAATATCTGAAGAGAAATTATTAAAATTAAAAGTTTCTATACACTGAGTCATCATCATCTGTCCTTTGACTGGGTGTGGTTGTAGGGTCACTGCACAGCTGGGCACCAGACCAGCTCCCTTCACATGTCTTGGTAGGCATTCATTCTTGCATAGCATATGTCATGGGCAAAGTAGATCTGGACAAGCTTATTCATTCCCATGTCAGACTGCAGCTGAAGGGTCACGTTGGTCATAGACATGTAACCATGGTTTCCATCTGGGAAACCCTCTGTCTTAGCTATTTACTTCAGTCTAGGAACCCCCCCCCTTGTCCAGCGATACAGTGTCGTCATCACCACACTGGATATACTGCCAGTAGCAGATACAGTCACATGTACAGATTTGACATGCAGTCATTTAAAACTCATTGTACAGGGCATTCCAAAAGTCACGTTACCATTGATTTGATAACTGTGTAAATTTTATATTTACCAAATGGAATCATGCGACAATATATTAAGAAATTTTATTGGCTGAATTATGGAAGATGATATCATGCAAGTTTCCCCTGGTTGCTATTTCACAAGTATATGTTTTCTGTCAATTGTCATGTGACTTTTAGAATACATTGTAGTTACTGTCTCTTGGTTGAACTCACTGGTGAGGACCTCAGAGCCACTACACATGGAGACAGCTGTATATAATAACTTAACAAAAGCTTACTTTATCAGGTATTTTTTTTTTTTAAATTATAACTATCATAAAAATATTTATCTTCATTTCTCTGTTGAATAATTAACTAATATTTGATTTATGTTTTTTTGGGTTTTTTTTACATTCCCTTAAACATTGTTATTTTTAAAAGCATTTCAATATCATTTGAAAAATAATTAAGAACAAATAAGTAAAGGAGTTTAAGAAAAAGAACCAAAATGCCAACAGATTTGAAGCAATAAAAATTCAAAGAAAATTTAAATTTTTGTCTTCTTAGAAATAAGTATAATGCATTAATATTATTAAAAAAAAAAAAAGTAAATGTAATTGACTCATTAGAAAAAAAACAAAAAAACAAAACGCACCTATGGCAGAGTTTTATTGAATGTTTGCTTTAGCATGACAAAATGAACGAACCAAGCTGAAAACTAACATTGGCCTTTATATAAAATTATACTACAAGGAGAACAGAGGATTAATAACATCAAAGCAAACAGAAAATCTAGGCTCATATAAAACTGGTTTTCTTTTGCTTCCATTGGTTTTTAGAAAAACTGACAATTCTTACTACTGCATTACAAAAAAAAAAAAAAAGCATGAACATTGTTTTTTTTTTTTTTTTAACTACTGGACAGGAAAAAGATTCCTTAATAGAAACAAAAATTAATCATTTTTTCAAAATCAATTATAATGTGGATTAATTTGTAACATTCTTAATTATATGGAAAATGCAAATCATGAATTAATTCAAATATATGCTCTTAAGTAGGCGCTGGAGGGAATCGTCAGTGATTTTAATTTTCTTGGTTCATCGTGGAGTTTTGGGTCTCTCGACATCATACAACCCATCGCCAAGTCAACCCATTCAGAGGAGATCAATCCCTGATTCCTTACTCACAATCAAATGCTAGCAGATACTCTGGCCCTTTTGATGAATTAGATGAAGATAGACCACGTTTTCTGCACACCCGACTGGATGTTTGTAACAAGCAATCCACTGCACTTTTAAATGGTCCATGGTGGGGACTGGCTACTTTACTTTATTTTCAGTGGATACCAGTTTCAATGGATAACCGAGGAGGTAATTTAACATTCTTAAATTTAGCACTTTTCTTATTTCCTAAGTATTGTTTGATGCCTTACTCTAAATATTTATGGTTTTATTTTATTTTGTAGTTGGTGGAGGGAACCTAAACTCAACCCCCACCACATTCCTATCTTTCAACCCAATTCCCAACAATTGGCTAAATTATGAAAGTAAAAAAAAATACTTATAAAAAAAAAAAAAAAAAAAAAAAAAAACAACTGCGAATGGAAGACAAAACACCTTATGAGGTATATCGCACTTAAAATTACTAAAAGATAAATAAAATAAAATTACCGCATATAAAACTGGATATAAACATAAATTACATATGTACAAATAACACACTTTACAAACTGACATGTAATGTTCATAGATGTTTATATTATTACCACATTGAAATTAATTATAATATTTAAAGATTTCCCCCTACTCCATTATTTTTGCATTGTAGTCCAAGAACAATGACGTTTGAACCATAGCCTTTCTTTCTGCTGTATTAGTTATTGTTACGAATTGCCTTTCTTTTGATAACACCTACTAAGCCAATATCAGTTTAGGGCTTTGCATAAGGACCTTGCAGCAACAACCTCTTGCGTCCACTTCAATTGGCAAGCAGCTTGCTTTCCATCCATTGTTTTTACAGCTCGTTATTAACTCATCATATTTTAGTTTCTTTCGTTCATGGGATTCTTCTGCATGCTCTTCCCAAGGCACTGTCAATTCCCACATCATTACTTTCTTTATATTGTCCAAGAAGAATACTATATCAGGGCGTAATGATGTTTGAACGATATGGTCAGGGAATTTTAGTCTTGTTGTTAAGTCAACCCTTAATTCCCAGTTTGTTGCCAGTGACAGAGTATTTGCTATGTTCTTTTTCTTTGTTTTCTCGCCAGCTTTAAGAAACTCTATAGTTCTTTTATCAAGATTTAATGTATTAGTGCTGATGGCCAAGCTAGCTATCTTTGTTAGATCTTTTCAAATTTGATCATTTATGAACATTTATTTACATTTATAACCAGGTTTGATTCTTTCAAAAATGACAAGACAAGTGCATAAAGAACAGAGTTCTTTAAATATTTTACATAGCATTTAACCAACTTGTAGTTCATTTTATACTGACTGATATCAAGTACAAAATTAGTAATTTGATTTTTTTTTTATTTGTAATGAGAATAAAGCAGTCCAGGTATAATCATAAAGCAAAAGAAATGCAATTTTGAATGATTTATAATTATGCCTTAAACTTTGTTAGAAGGATGTTTTCTCCAGTGATTTATTTTCTATAAGCAATCCCAACTCTTCAGAGCTATTTATGACAAAAGTTTAACTAAGACACAATATACATCAAATTTAGTTAGCCAAAAATCCAGAGTACTTGCTGCAGTGCATAGATTAACATTCTAATTTCAGAAGCCCAATCTTTAAATTCATAATCCTGATGCTAAATATGGACTTGTATCTAAAAATTAGTTTAATGCATGGATATATAGATATATAAGAATCATTATAAAAAGACAGGTTTTATAGATCAATTTTTATTTTTAAATGAACTCACCAATTATTTTTTCCACCATTTCATAAACCTGGCGTTGTTCTTCTTCAGAGTTCCTCCGTTTTCTCAAATAAAATCGGAATAAAAGAATCAGGAAGATGAATCCTGAAAAAGAGATACAAAATGTTTCAAGTTTAGCAGTAACTTTCATTCAATCCTGCAAAAAAAAAAAAAAAAAAAAAAAAAATGAATTAACAGAAGTTTTGAAGAAATTAAATACATCAAAGTCTGCTATAATAGACATTAATGATATAAAAAATGACAAAATGCATTTAGCTAAATGATTTTATGAAAGGTTCAAGAAACTTTTACATTTTAATTTCTCCTTTGAGAAAATTATCAAATTAAATATGAATGTTAGTAACAAAAATGACAACACATTGGAAGGATAGTTGGAACATTTCACAAGCAAAACAATTTGTAAAAGATTTTTTACTTGTGAGGTGCAATAGTTTAAAATTAAAAATATCAAGTTACACAATTTATATACAGAGATCAAAGAGAGATTAACTTACCAAGGAAGCCTAAAAGAAGTTGGTAAATCATCCGCACAACAGCTCTGCGAAGACGACAGACAAAGTTCATACTGGGGATATAACTTTCCAAATACTTAACATCATCTATTTGTGTTGCATTGTTGCCATCAGCTGTAACAGGTCTACAGCACAAAGGAGAAAGATAAACATCATTCTTTGTATAAGAAATGTGTTGAATTAGGTTGGTGAAAAATACACATTTTTAATTAATATTGCTTATAATGCAAGTATAGATTATGTAATTGCTTTTGTTTTTAAAACCATCCCATGTACAATGTTCATAAAAAAGAAATTGTTTTTGTTTATTTTTTTCAGAAATCCACAAACAAAACTCGAACAACATCATGTTAGGATTGAAGTTGATGATTATGAAAAAAAAATATAAGAATTAAAAACTTATGGAAATAGAGCATATTATTAACTTATTCAAGATTAATACCATCTCCAAGCTTAGTTTTAATTCTGTATGTTGTGTGTGAGCGCTTAATTTACAACAAAACTAACCTTTAATTTTTCTATTGTTATTAAAATAAATGATTAATCTGAAGGATATTCAACTGAAAAGCAATTTCAGAAGATGAAAATTTAAGTCTTAAATAATTGGTTAATTAGGATCTTTTCTAAGAGGCAGGAAAAGGGAAAAAAAATAACTTACCTGATTCCCCAATCTTCACTGTCAGTTACCAGCCAAATTATCATCCTCTCAATCCATTCCTTAAATAAAGATTTTTAAAAATGTTCAGATTTTATGTATTTTATGAAAAAAAAAAAAAAAAAAAAAAAAGAAAAAAAAAAGGAAACTATAAAGACAAAAAGAAGAAAACTGAGTAGAAATAAATACAGGCCCCAAAATTTATATTCAAAAGAAATACATTATGACTGACATGGGGTAAATTAGCAAGATTAAACAAAAACAGCAGCAATGAAAATAAAATTCTTAAAATAAAAATAAGCACAAAATTTAAAAGGCAAATAGATGGTTGGTTGGTTGGTTGGTTGGGATGCATGCATATGTACATACATACATATAAAATATTATAAGCTGTTACATATGGACAAAAAAAGTACTCATGACAAAGACAAAATATTTGTTTCGATGCGTAAGCATCTCATCAGGTGAGAAACAAAGTTGCATCAAAACAAATATGCATCTTTGTCGTGAGTACTTGTTTGTATGTAACATCGTTATAATAAATGACTACTGCTCCACTCTTCGTATTGAACCCTCTTTTAAATTAAAGTTAGGAATATTTGAATTTATATTCTTTTCCTTCATTACATTTGGAGAAATATATATATATATAATAAAGGAAAGGAGTAATTCTTTCAGGAAGAGAGATATTTAAAAAAAAATCCTAGTTTTATCTATAGTTGTTTTACACATATATTTTTAGTTATTTTTTAAATAATATATAGTGATGGGACAATAAATCAGAATCGGAAATACTGGAACTAACTTTTTGGAGTATCGGAAAATTTCTAACCTAATTTCCAATTCCAAAAACAATTCTTTGGATTTTCTTTGTTTAAAACATTTTCCATTCTTGATACTAATGATAAAAAGATATAGATATTTATTGATTTAAAAAAAAAAAAAAAAAAAAATGAGCAAGTTTCTACTCAGTTCTCAAACTTTTCATAAAGTTCACTGGTTTAAAGACAGGTTTCAGTTCAAAATAAAAAATTGTATTTCTTTTTAAACATTGTTAATTCACCCACTTAACATTATGAATTATTAATAATTATATTCAAAATTATGTAATATAAACACAAAATGAATTCATGTTGTTCTACAGGGCTCTCTTTCTTTTAATTCATAAAAAAGAAAAGAAAATGAATGTATGACTATGAGCCACAAATTGTTATCATGGCATGGCAGTTAAATTACAACAATTTGTTTTTATAATAGTCTTAATTCATAAAATCAGGTTTTAGCCTCAGTTATTGAACAGATTTATTTTTGCTTATGTAGCACACTGCATAAACAAAAATAAATCTTCTTTTCAATAACTGAAACTTAAAAAGTAAGCTTTTTTTTATGAAACTTAAATTTCTTTCTATAAAATTCATGTATTTCTTAACATTTTATAGCTCTGGAAACTGATTTTCACCTTCATTTACTTAAAGAAAAAAAAGAAGAGAGAAAAAGGAGAGAGAAAAGAGAGAAAAGAGAGAAAAGAGAGAGAAGAAAGAAGAGAAAGAAAAAAGAGAGAGAAAGAAAAAAAGAGAGAGAAAGAAAAAAGAGAGAGAAAGAAAAAAAGAGAGAGAAAGAAAAAAGAGAGAGAAAGAAAAAAAGAGAGAGAAAGAAAAAAAGAGAGAGAGAAAAAAAGAGAGAGAAAGAAAAAGAGAGAGAAAGAAAAGAGAAGAGAGAAAGAAAAAAGAGAGAGAAAGAAAAAAGAGAGAAAGAAAAAAAGAGAGAAAAAAAAAGAGAGAAAAAAAAGAGAGAGAAAGAAAAAAGAGAGAGAAAGAAAAAAGAGAGAGAAAGAAAAAAGAGAGAGAAAGAAAAAAGAGAGAGAAAGAAAAAAGAGAGAGAAAGAAAAAAGAGAGAGAAAGAAAAAAGAGAGAGAAAGAAAAAAGAGAGAGAAAGAAAAAAGAGAGAAAGAAAAAAGAGAGAGAAAAAAGAGAGAGAAAGAAAAAGAGAGAGAGAAAGAAAAAGAGAGAGAAAGAAAAAAAGAGAGAGAAAGAAAAAGAGAGAAAAAAAAGAGAGAGAAAGAAAAAGAGAGAGAAAGAAAAAGAGAGAGAAAGAAAAAGAGAGAGAAAGAAAAAGAGAGAGAAAGAAAAAGAGAGAGAAAGAAAAAGAGAGAGAAAGAAAAAGAGAGAGAAAGAAAAAGAGAGAGAAAGAAAAAGAGAGAGAAAGAAAAGAGAGAGAAAGAAAAAGAGAGAGAAAGAAAAGAGAGAGAAAAAAAAGAAAGAAAAAAGAGAGAGAAAGAAAAAAGAGAGAAAGAAAAAAGAGAAAGAAAGAAAAAAGAAAAAAAAAAAAAAAAAGAGAAAAAAAAAAAGAGAGAGAAAGAAAAGAGAGAAAAGAAAAAGAGAAAAAGAAAAAAAGAAAAAAGAAAAAAAAAAAAGAAAAAAAAAAAAAAAGAAAAGAAAAAAAAGAAAAGAAAGAAAAAAGAAAAAGAAAGAAAAAAGAAAAAGAAAGAAAAAAGAAAAAGAAAGAAAAAAGAAAAAGAAAGAAAAAAGAAAAAGAAAGAAAAAAGAGAAAGAAGAAAAGAAAAAAAAAAAGAAAAGAAAAGAAAAGAAAAGAAAAAAAAAAAGAAAAGAAAAGAAAAAGAAAAAGAAAAGGAAAAGAAAAACTTTTATTTGAAGTTTCCTGAAATAAAGCTTTTTCACACAAAAGTTCATATTAAAAAACCTAAAATTTAATTTCCATTAAAAATTGTATTTAATTTTATTAATACTTTTCTTTGGCATAATTGAACTTTCCTGTGTTAAATTATGGCATTTAAAATATTTTGAACTTTTTTCTCATTTATTCATCCTTGGAGCCAAAATGAGATGCCAGTTTTATAAGTGTATAAAAAAAAAAAAAAAAGAAAAATGAGTATTTTTATTCCATTTTTATCTGATGTGTTTGTGTTTAAGGTATAGTTTCCCCCCCACACTTTTAACATGATTTGTTTTAATATTTTTTAAAGTAAAACTAGTAAAATTTCATCTTCTAATACTCTAATAAATAAGTGAAACAAAACAAAAACAAAAAACGATTCCATGCAAAAATACACATTTACAAATTATTTTTTTTTTTTATAGATGAGATTGAAGACCCTTTATTATTTATTTATTAAATTGCATTTTTATTTATTTTTTTTTATTCATTTACCGGCTGGATTAGGTACTCCTTGTACTTTATCAAAATACTAGCAGCATGGGCCGGCGTTGCCCGTGCTTGATTCAAAAATAGTACGACTAATACAGCAATCGCTATCACTTGACTTAAAATATTTTTGCCCTTCCTTTGCCGTGCTGATGTTACATGCCTTACTTCTTGCCTATATCACACTGCCAACTTTTTCTAAGCTCTATAGTAAACATTAAATCTGTTACTTAAAAAAAGAACTAAACAAAATAAAACAATCTGATCAGCTTTAAAAAAAACTGGAAAAAACATTTTTAAGGGTTAATAATTGTCGATTTGCACTCTGTTTGAGGGTGCTCAGAGTTGAAACTTCACATGATGACCCTAATGGCCTCTTCATAAATCTGCTCAGTTTTCACTAAAAACCGACATGCGGTTCAGACGCAATCTGGGCGTATCGGTTTTTGGGTTTTATCGATTTTCCGCACTGTTTAGGGGTCTGTGGTCATGAAACTTCTGGACAACACTTCTAATGGTAGACTCTAAGAGGGTGTCAAATTTGGTTGAAATGCGATTATTCCTTCTGTAAGCAGAAGTTTTTCAATTATCGATTTTTTCGGAACCTGATTCTGAACTCAAAAATCGGGCTCCATCATGTCCTTACAGCAGCCATTTGCAAACTTGTGTTGAAAACCGCATCAAAATCGGGTGAGAAATGCGGCCTGGGCGAGGTAACAACGCCCACAACAGACAGACAACATGAGAAATATAGATAGTAGATATGCATACTTAAACCACAATACATAGGATTGCTTAGAATATTATTGTTGCAATATTATATATATATATATATATATATATATATATATATACACACACACATTTTGATACCATAGAATAAATAGTTCGATTTAAATAAATACAATTTTGTGTTCATTTTTTTTTTTTTTTAAAAAGGACCTAGGTAACCTTTCGGCCAACACTACCTCAGGGACTGATTGTTGGCAGAACTAATTTAACAGATGTGATCTGCAGATATGTGGAAATTGGAGAAAAAGTTGGAATACATCTAAAACAATTTACGATTAAAATAAATATGTAAGTTGTAAATGAACCAACAAAAGAGTGTAAAATAGAAAAAGTTGCTCACTGACCTCCAAATAAGTAAAGGGATCGCAAAAAGTTTTCCTTTTGCTTGCAAAGAGATGGCCGCTGCAGTTTCAGACAAACGGCTTCTAATATTTGCAGATGGTGCTTAGATTTTTCCATATGCAAAATAGAGAATGAATCCGTCATGAAACACACCAAGCAACTCTCATACTCTAGTAGCCTAATTGCCAAGTCATGTACAGACTGTGATGCACAAGTATGATTACTTGAATGGAATCTCACAGACTTTGGAACGTGTTGGTCCAATCTTGTTTCCAATCAAAGACTAGTCTGTAATATGTACTCAGCTTCACCCCGAGACTTGAATGTGTAGAATAATGAACTCTTACTAAGATTAGACAGACGGTCTTTGGTAAAGGAAGCAAACACTGGACAGGTACCAAAAACAACACACAATTTGGCCGAAAAAAGGTAGAAGAGAGAGACTTGGAAACTATGTCAGAGTTTTACACTTTCTACCAAGCCAAGGCAATTTCAGATAAATTGGACACAGGCTAGGGCCAAATTCAGGAGAACTACAGAAATTTTCTGACTTGCGTCCTATTGTATGATTAATAATGTTGGCTGGATAACCATTATCAATAGAATAGGACATATTTTGTTTAACTTTTGTTGAAAGGTAGCAGGAGAACAGATCATTAAGCCCCGAGGAACTAAAGTTTTGATTAAATTAATTTTTCTGGTACGAGGGACAAAAGACTTATGGAACTCCCTCCCAGCTCCATGCTTTCTAACCAATATTAATTTGCAAAAATTTAAATGCAATGTCAATTGCAATCTACTGTCCTCGTGAATAATCTTTCCTTTTCCCACTCATTATTGTTTCTGTTCCTAATTCTTCTACACCCTGTAAGCCCTTGTGTCTTAGGGGCTTTTCTGCTTTCTGAATGTTTGCCAAGACAAGATGAACAATAGATCAAGTAGGATTTATTTCAAAGTTAATTTAGAATACTAAGATGAGACTGGTAGATTAATCTTTCAAGCATTTAATACAGCGATAAATAATAGGTTATTACTACCATCATTATCCAATCATACAGTCCAAATCTTTTTATTTATTGCCTTCAGACGCGGCAGCATTACATGATAATAAACTTTGAATTTAAGTTTTTAATAGACATACCGTATCATCTTCATTCATGTTCTTTGCAATTTGTTGATGTAAGTTAACAATGGAGATTCTCTTGCTTTTGTCATTTGTTTTATATCCACACTCTACTTTTCCTGACAAAAAAATAAAAAAAAAGTAATGTATAAAAAGCATAAAATATAAAAATCAAGCATGTTTCTCTTACTGATTGCTTACACATTAGAAACAAATGAAACAAAAGTTTTAAATATTCTTAATCTTTTAAGGTTGAAGTCTATTCTAAATGATGAGTAGTTTTCAAATACAGGGGTGGGGAGCAAATAATTATTTAACAGTGAGCAATGGACACTGTTTAGTAATAATTGTAGAGGAGAGGAAATAAATACTTACCATATCTATCACTGAGGTCTTCATATATCATTTTCAGAAGCTTTAGAACATTATCAATATCGGAAGTCTTGCATTCCTAAAGAGAGAAAAAATAAAAATAAATTAACATTTGTAAATGAATATTTTGTATCTAGAACAAAATGCATATTTAACATAAACTAGATATATCACTAAAGGAAAGGTTCTTTTCCAAATTTGGGAAATAAATTCTTTTTTTTAGTTAAATATGTAACAGATCATTTTTTTTAATCATTTCACCCCAAGCAAAGGAATAAAGCCACTAAGATGCAAGGGTTTACTGAGTGTGAGAGAATGAAAAAAAATAAAACATTAAGAGGAGAAAACAATAAAAGAACAGGAATTAAGGTGACAAAAGATAATCATTGACAATGCATTTAAATTTTTGAAGATCAAGGTTGACTGGAAAACAAGAACCTGGAAGTGAATTCCACAAGTGAGAAGTGCAAGAGAAGAAACTGTTAGCATAGATCTCACGGTTAAATCTAGTCACTTCGATTGTAAAATGATAAGATCTTGCTGCCAATCTAGTAGTACACTTGAATTTATAAAGTCTTGGTACCAAAAAGAACAAGCTCATCAGAACAATTACCATAAAAATATTTATAGAAAAGGTACAGAGAAGTTACATTTATGGTAGTGGGAAAGTGACTGAAGCTGAGCTATTAATAACACTGCAGATTCTTTTTTGGATTTTATCAAGAATCTCTAAATACATAGCAGAAGCACCAGACCTGACGTGACAGCAATATTCAATGCATGGACAAATGGTAGACTTATGTCTAAGATAGATTCTGTCAAGAAAAATTGTCTCTTATGACACAGTGAAGCAACTTTCCAAGCAGTAGACCTAGCAGTTGATTTAATATAATCTTGCACTTCATGTCAGTGGAAAATGTTAGCACAAGAAGGCGTAATTAGTCACTTTTCTGGAGGTCAGCATTAGCCATGGTGATGGAAGGCAAGAAAGGTTCACTCAGATGATTAAAAGAGCAGCTTTATTTTTGAGGCATTAAAATTAACAAGCCATTTCTTGCCCGAGTTAACAACATAGCGCGGGTCATTTCTGAGATCAGCTGCTAATTAGACCTTATCAAACAGAAATAGAGCCCTGAGGGACACCTGCATTAATGCAAAAAAAGATTTAGAAGAATGACCATTCAAGACAACATTCAGTTCTCGGTTTGATAAGAAAGACTGAGTTTGAGCAAAAATTTGTCAAGGAATACCATAAACTTTCAACTTGTGAGCCTTCAAGATATCTAATGTTTCACCATTCTTATCTGAAGCTTAATAGGCACTTTCAGCAATAATTGTAAATATATCAGCAGCTGACTTATAGAAGCAAAAACCATACTGTTTATCTCAAAGACCACTCCATGAGGAGAGATGCTTAGCCAATTCTAGTACTTTGCCAAAAAGAAGTAAAAGTCTAGGTTGATAGGATTAGATGGTTGGCCAGAGTTCTTAAAATCTGGAACTACAGATGAGAATTTCCAACAAGCAGGATAGTAAGAAGCAGCAAGGCATTTACTATAGAGTAAAGAGAAAACAGGAACCAGTTCAGGAGCACATTTCTTAAGGAGTATTCCAGAGATAACATCAAGTCTACATGTTTTGTGGGGGTCCAGTTTAGAGATAATAGCAGAAACTATGAACAGAGTTATATGCCCATCACTCAATAGAGCCTGTTTGAAGTAAAAAGTTAGGCAAAGATAATCCAGATGAGCCAAGAGTAGAATTGGAAGAGAATTTACAAGCAAAACATTCTGATTTATAAGCTGTTAACACCTCAAACTGAGTGAAGAGAAGATGGATAGATTATTACCAAGCTTCCAGTAGTCATGAGAATCAAACTTGTTAAAAGGCTATACAGTGCTTCATTCTGTTAGCAAACAAAAACTTAGCCTCTTTGAGGACACATTTACAATTATTACAGGTAGACACAAAGAGCCATTCTGTTGTGATTAGAATTATCACACTAGTAAAGCCAAAAAAAAAAAAAAAAAAAAAAAAAATGATTTCTGTGAGCTATAGCAGCTGAACAGGTAAGTGTGAACCAGGGAGACGACTGTGGTTTCACCTGGTATTAACGAGAAGATACAAAAGCATCTATGCCAGCTTTATTTCAAGAAGAAACTTCAGTGGCACAATTCTCAATAGGATTATAAACTTAGGTTTAGAAATGTAAATGAGGGAGAATAACTTGACTTGAAAATTCAGCTTTCCAAAGTCCTGGTTTTGAATTTGGGTCACTGGTGGGAAGTATACAACTGATTTAGTCATGAGATCAATTTATGGCAAACAAAATCAACAAGCCAGTATCAATTCTGCTGATAGACCAATGCCTTAATTCTTAAGCTTGGCATACAATTGTTCATAAGCATTATGATGATAACCATGATCATCATTTCTATAAAGAATTTTCACTTGGTAGTTCTGGGATTTATTAAATTTATTTTACTTCATTAATTTGTAGAGAAAGTCAATGGAGAGGGAACCATCCTCATAAATTCCTGATGCTCATAGTTTTGACTGAAGGATTATATAAAGAACCCTTGAGCAAAACCATCATCTGAACATATCTGTTAATGCTGTGTTGTAAAGAAAGAGTTTAAAGTGGGGGGGAAAAAATGAAGAGACAAGTCCCAAAACAAATTAACCAATAAAGGATTGGATAATTTTACAAATGCCTTGCAGAATAAGGTTGTGAAGATACCAAACACAAAATAGAATAATGTTGTAATTATTTTTATTTTGAGCAAAAAGAAACTTTGTATTACAATAATCAACATTGGAAATTATATATATATATATATATATATATACACACACACACACACATTTTCCAATGTTGCGAGATGAAAACTCAACTTTTTATTTTAGAGAAAACAAAATAATTTTAATCAAAAAGACCACAAGAGAAAGCCTCAGACAAAAAAGAAAAAAAAGAAGACTCAATTCGAGACATTTTTTTTTTAAGTAATAAGTTTAGGTCTTATTTAATATTGTACAAGTTTGTTTTCTAAACTGCTCCCTACTTCTTAGCTTAAAATCACATGAGAGATTGTCTTTCTAAACATTATCATTTTTAACCCATCCTGGGTGGGTCTATTTCACTAAACATTTACAGTACTACTACTTTTTTTAAAAAAATCATTTCACCCAAGCAAGCCAACAGTGCCACTAAGATGCAAAGGGTTACCGAGATTGAAAGAGAATTTGAAAACTTTAAGGAGAAAAGACAATAAAACAGGATACAGGAAGACAGAAGATTCAATTACAATATGACCAGTTACTTATAAATAAAACTCACATGAACATGTTATATATATTTGCAAGTTTTTATTTATTTAAAAAGATGAATAATTATGATTTAGGTAGCAAAATATAATTTATTTCTAATGAATGATTATGAAAATTAGACATGACTGTGTCACAAGGTGCACTTCCTAAAACTTAGCCATTTACTGTTAATTACCAAATATATGTTTTTATGTGGTTTATTTGTAAGCATACATGTACAGGCATATGAAAACAAAAATAATCCATTGTTTTTCAGTAAGAATTTTGAAGCCTATTTTCTGTGGTGTTATTGACAATTTGAAAAAAAAAAAAATGTTTCTAAGATCAATGCAATCTTCAGTTCTAATGATTCAGACACCTCTGAATTTCCATTCTCCATGCAACAGAACTGGACAATGGATGAATGCTGAATTTTTGCAAAGATCTTTAATTCTTGGTTAGGCTTGCAAGCCAGTGATTATTATCTTTCTTTGAGATTATTGAGGGTTTCAAATAAAGCTTTTTGTTTCTGCTTCTTGTTCATGATAACAATTCTTTTAACTCTCAACTAGATTTGTATATGTTGGGCTGGTTATTCATGAAAGACAAATATTTATGGTAATTCTTTTAACTAAAAATAGTTTGTTTTTTTTTCATTTTGAATAAAAAATAGAAAAAAGTACAATACAAAACAAAGACAAACATAAAATAAAAAAGTAATTTAAACTTGAGAAAATACATTATTCATATACTTCCAACCTAATGCCATCACCAGACATTGGTAAGTGGAATAGATGAGATTTGATTAAAAATTCATAGATTTATCTTTAAGATATACTCTATTGTTCCTTCAAGTAATGCTACAATATTTCCAGTTTTCTTATGCAGCATGGAAAGAATAAAAGAATCAGATACATTTAGCAGCATCAATAAAAATGGCTTAGTATTTCTTAGTTATCATATGAACTCATGGAAATATTTCTTTCGACAAATGGAAACATCAGAAACAGGCGTATATAAAAGTTTTCTTTGATTCTTAAGAAACAGAACCTTCCCTCTCAAAATGCAGAGAGATACTGTCAAGAAGCTGAATTAAGATTTTGAATCTATAAAGAGAACATGAAAAATTTTTCAGTTTCAAACTTTTTTTCAAGTCAAGCACTAGATGCATCCTAGGCAGTCAAGCATATAAATTCCTCAAATAAACCTATTGTTGGAACAAAGGTACTTTTGTCGATTGGATTAGTGTTCAGTTTATCATCATGGTTTCCCCGCCAGCCTAAAGGGATAATTTTTATGATAAAGAAAAGATTTTAACAAGAAGAAAAAACAAATAATAATAATACTGAGACAAGCAACCAAGAAAACTTTATACTTACTGCAAAGATTTTATTCTTACTATCGCATAATGCTTGTATTCTAACAAAAGCTGAAATAAATAGAAAAGTAATTAATATGTATACAAGATATTAAAAAAAAAACACTTGACAAAATCAAATAAAAATTTTATAGCACATATGAATGAAGCCTTTTCAAATGCCATGTAATGTGTAGTGTTTCCAAATAAACATAATTTAAGAGTTACTGGATATTTGCTCACTTTATGATTAGAGTTGAAAAGATTTCATATAATTATGAAAAAATAAAATAAAAATAACCACCCATTTTTTTTTAAAGGATAAATAAAATTAACCATAACCAAAGATTCTTTCTAACAAGAGTACCATTATGATACAAATTAAAGTTTTGTGAATTTAGTATTAATAGATTTTTAAGCTTTTACTCATGAAGGCATCAAATCTTCTCTTGTGGGATACGATACAAGCAGGTTGTATTTACGACACAAAGATAATCTCTCCAGATTTGTTTGCTATTTTACTTCCAGATGTGAAATCATCCAGATATGTACAATAGAGGGTACATGTCAGAAGATCAACAGAACCACAACAGTTCCTATATGTATTTTTCAAACATCATTGCTATATAACAAGGACATCCACCCCATGGGCCACACTGCGGCCCACTGCACCCTAAAATCTTTAGGTATATTTTCATTTACTTTAGTAATGTATGTTGAAAAAATTTTTCTCAGATTGTGCTAGCAAGTTCACTTCCATATTGCACTAAAAGAGGAAGTGGGCAAAGGCTTTTGCCGAGACACACTGGTTGGTGCATGGTGCAAGAGCCAGAGTTAAATAAAAATTATTTAGCTTAGCTAGAAAACTTATGCATATGGGGTACTACATACTGTTGTGAACAATTCTGTTCATGCATGAAAAACATCAAAACTGTTGAAAGAAATAGGTTCAGTGATTTCCATTTAACTATCATTCTTAGAATAAACACTAGTACCATAAAAGAATATATAATGACAATATTATAAAAAGAAAGTAATGTAAAAAACTCATTGAATTTATTTTATTTTGTGTATGTATAATTTCTAGTTTTTGGGGTTTTTTTTACTGTCAATAATACAGTATTTTTTGTAATTTTTATACATCTCATATCCACAATGTTTTGAACTTTTTAAAAGCATGTTTATATAAACATGCTTTTGTGGCCCAGTGAATATACCTAAATTTCTTATTTGGCCTATTAGGAAAAAAGGTTGGACAACATGGCTATATAGCATGAGAAAAGATAGTGTTTTTGTTTAAGTACCAATAAATATTGCAAGAATTTTTGATTTCAATTACAGGGAATGATTGCAAAAACCTGCCTCCCCAATTTATAGATGGAACACAGATACATGCTAGGATTTCCTCCTTGTTAATAAGATTAGGCCACTTCTCAGTCTCATAAGATTAAGATCTGTTCTTTCTTGTCTTGAAACCAGAATGCTGTGATTGTTTGTCTCTATACCCTTTTGTGAGTTAACACCATTCTTAGTTTGTGAACTTTTTGCCTTATTACTGTTGCTTTGCCTTACATATATTGTTTGCTTGCTTAATATTATTTTTTGTCCTGTTCTTTGTTATTGTTTATTGTAAATTCTGTCAATTCTGACAGTAACACATTTCTGCCAATCACATTTAACCATAGCCAATTACTCTATAGCTTATAAAGCCAGAAAAAGACTGTTTCATTGGTGATGAATCAAAATATGAACTATAGGAGGTAAAATGTTTAGGATATATGAGAATCCAAAAATTATACAAAACGATCTTGGCACTATTTGATCATCCCAATGAGAAAGAGTACTGTGAAAATAATGCAAATGCATTTGCCAAATTAATCCAATTTCTCAATGACCGAAGTCTCTCTCTTATTATGAGAGAAGCCCCTGACAATGGCAAAAAAGCACTGCAAATTTTGAGAAAACATGACTTCTCAAAAATGCTGCAACTTTATTAAAAACATCAGAAGTTATTAGCAACAACTTGCTAATAGCCATGGTCTTGAAAGGCCTTCTGCCTGAATTTAAACCATTCACAACTTATTACTCAGATGAACAAACTGGTAATGTTTAGTGAATTTAAACTAGCACTGCAAAACTTCAAAGAAACTGAAAAGATGATTGAGAAGAATAACAGTGAAAATACCATAATGGCTCTCTGAATGCAAAGGCAAAGACCAAAGCCAAAAACTAATAATGGCCCTACCTGCTTTGCATGTGCTAAGTAAAAATCAGAATTATCCAGTTAATAATTCCCCTTTAAAATGATATAATTCCAATCCACCAAACAAAAATATTATTTGCTATGCTTGTTGCAAACTTGGATATAAAAGTACTGAGTGCAGAAGCAAAAAGAAAGTCCATTTCAAATAGGGATTGCCAAGATCTTTCTGCAGTACCATTTTGATGTGCAGAGTATGGGGCCAATTTCTCATGTTTAATATGATTATTGATTAGAAGAATTTTGAAGATTCCTGAAGCGAATTCTGTGCAATTATCATTTCTTAGGCATTTTACAGAGTGGTGTCTGCCAAATATTTTTTCACAGAGAGAAACATATTGCTTTTTTGTTTAAGAAAATAAATTATCATTAGACCAGAATAATCATCAACAAACCAAAGTGCATATTTGAAGCCACTCAAAGATCTCAGCTCAGGATAGTTAAATCACAATGATCATGATTTATTATTTTAGTTGCTTGTTTATCTAGTAATCTATTTTTATATTGTACCATTTTTGCCTTGGATATATATTTCACAGTTAATGTCCATCAGATTGCAATGTCGAAGAATTTATGCCATTGTTTTGGACTATGTGTAGAAATTTTGCTGTATTTAAATAGAACAATCTCATTTTATGTTGAATTTTACACTATTAGAGTCTACAAGTTCTGAGGAATTACAGCCAAATTTTACAGAAGCACCTTGTACCGAAGATATATTCTGTTTAAATGTAGAGATATAGAGAGTATCCTTTAAAATGCCATCATGCATATTTACTACAGTGTCAGTTGAAGTAACTTGAGCATTGAGTCTTTTTAAAGCAATATTACTTGTTCTACTGCTGTCTGCCAGTTTGATATAATGATTTTCCAGATTAAAATCATTATGAACACTAATAAATTTAGATTCATTAGTAATAACGTGTGTTGCGGTTCCACAATCAACATGTAAACCGTTTCTGTTGGAAATGCTATTTAGTCCAATTGAAAATAAAAATGAATTTTCATTTTTTGAAACATGTTCAACATTTATGAAATGTGCTACTCTATTGCCAGCAAAAACAATGACAAACTTGTATGACGGCTAAAAAATGTCATTATATGACTTAAAGCAGGTGAAATTGGAACCAAGTCTTGCACACATATTTAATTAGTCAAGGTTTCTCCCGCATTACACAAAAAAACATTGCATTTACACAAAAAACACTTTGAATAAAATATTGATTGTTGTTATTTGGGTTGATGATATAATCATTGATGCAAGTTATAATTCTACATTAATGTAAAAACAGATTTAAATGAACAATTCAAAATGACTGATTTTGGGAAGCTTTTTTTTTTTCTAGATATACAATTTCTGTTTAAAAACAATTCCATAGAGATGAATCAAACAAAATATATAGAAAAGATTCTACCCAAATTTGGAATGCAAGATTATAAATCTCCATCAACATCTTGTGAAATGGATATCAATCTACTGGACTGAAAGCAATTCTGAACCAGCAGACAGGAAATATTACCAAGAAATAGTCAGCAGCCTGATATATTTTATGACAGCAATTTGTCCAGATATATGTTATGGGGTAACAAAATTGTCACAGTAATCAGCGAATCCAACCACAGATCACTTGATAAGTGCCAAACCAGTTTTACACTATTTAAAAGGTACAAAAACACACTGTTTGGTGTCTAAGAAATCTAGTAAGCCTTTAACTTTAAAAGGTTTTTGCGATGCTGATTGGGGAAATTTAAAAGATTGCTGCAGTATTACAGGGTATGGTTTTCAATTATTGCCAAGCAGTTCAATGATTTTGTAGCAAACGGGAAAACAAACTACAGTAGCGTTGTCAATATGTGAAGCAGAATGTATGGTATTAGCAACAGCAGTACAAGGAGCAAAATTCCATATTCAATTATTGAATACCATTAATTCAAATGAAAATGAGTAAGCCACTATTGTGATAATCAAGATACCATAGCTCTTGCTAAGAACCCTGTCTACCACCAATGTTCAAAACATGTAGACATAAAGTACCACAAAATTCAAAATGGTAAAGTCAGACTAAAATGAAGCAGATTTATTTATTAAACCTATCAGCAGAGTAAAATTAAATAAATTTGTTAATGTTCTAATTGGAGTACAACACTGAACTTTTCCTTATTCCTCCAGTTTACCCCCCTACACTCCCTTTTGTTAAAAAAAACAAAAAAAAACGCACCACCACCAACAACAACAACAACAACATTGTAAGCAATATATAATTTCTGTTTGAAATACACTAGAGTATTTATTTTGCTTACTGTAAATAGTAAAAAGTTTATTTTTTAATCCTTTAACTTTCAATTAAAGCTAAAATGAAAGCTTCAAGAAAACTTTTTTCATCTGGCAATTTTTTTTTTTTGGCAAAAATTTCCAAATTAATTTATATTAATTAAGTTATTTTACCAGAAAACAGGTGCAAAAATGTCCATTACCAGCCTCGTTATACCAATGACACATAAAAAAAAATAATTTAACCTAAATTTTGAACATGTTAGAAAGGAGTAAAAAAATTTTTTAAAAGTAATTAAAAAATACTTTGGTCTTTCTTCTTAAGAACAAATGTTTTGACAATAAAACTTTGTTTTTATTCAGTTTGGGGCCCTTTTTTCATCATGTTTTTTAGCAAAAAAAGTGGAGGTACCTACATTTAACCATGGCCAATTACTCTACAGAATGGATTTGCATTTTTCTAAAATAATCATCTTTCTTTTATACTCAAAAAGTTTTGACCAAAATCTAACTACCATAATTACAAATAAGCCATGTCAA